GTCCTTCTGCGGCACAGGATGTGCCGCGTCGTACTGCTCAACCAGACCCAGTACGTCGATCATCAGTTGGGAGCGGGGCTCCCAAGTATCCCAGGACGGGGGATAGCCGCGCCACCGGACGAGACAACTCGTCCGACGTCCGTTCACGTCGCGGTGGTTCAACAGCTGCTCAACTAGATAGCGCTGGCCACCGCGAGAGTCCTCTAATGGAGGTGGGGGAGGAGGAAAGACGCTCTCCACACGATCATGGGGATCGGTGTGTTCCCGATAGCTTCTTTGATCGCGTAACGCAAGGGTTACGCGACGATCTCGAACATGAGCGGAATAGGTGTCTCCAAATGGCGGACACTGCCTCGAAGCATCGAGCTGAGTTTGCCTTTGCTCATCTTGAGAACGAGAGATCGCTGACATCTCTTCGTGAAGAGCTAAGGGCAGCTCGTGGGGATGTTGACCCGGTTTCGGGATGAGATAACTGCTCTTCAGACCCTTGTCGATAGTCACCATCGGGAGCACAAGGCTCTCTGTGAGATGCTTGAGCGCAAGGGCGTTCTTCATCGAAAGAAACAGCGTACTGATGGTACGGCTTAAGCCGACCAACGTAAAACGTGGGATGCGTTCGCATCTTATGTGGCAACTCGATCGTGTATGCATTGCCTAGGCGATGCAATACACGAAATGGGCCGATATACTTGGGTAGTAGTTTACTGCTACCCAAGTCAGTCACTACATGCTTTGGTAGATTAACCGTAGACAGTAGGACTAAGTCACCTTGATTAAATAAAAGAGTGTTTGCCCTTCCATTCTTGTCAGCGTTTTGCTTTTGCTTATCCACCGCTTCGGCGATGGAGTCTTGCACAAAACGGACTACCGTTTCACGAGCCAGTATGAACTCATCTGATGACTCGTTAGCTTCAGTGCGCTGTGAGCGCACTGAAGCAACAACCTTTCTTCAGTGAGGGCTTCCCACCTGGGAGGTCATTGTCTTCAGTGAGGGCTTCCGCACTCTCACTGGCATCATCTTCTTCGATATCGATGTTATCGATATCGGCATCAAACGCAATGACTTCTTCGTCAGAGCGTGATGAGCGTGAACCAAATCGGTTTTTGCTCGCGCGAGTCCCTCCCCCCTTAAACCAGAGTTACACTCTAGTAAGGTGGGTACACGCAGTTGGCGCAAGCCATTCACGTAAAACGGTGTATGTGTCGTGGACGCATGCACCGAGTTGTTGATGGCAAACTCTACCATTGGCAAAAACTCACTCCAACTCTTAAAGGAGTGTACGTATCCTCGAAGTATCTCTTCAAGGACACGATTGGCACGCTCCGTCTGACCATCTGACTCTGGATGATCAGATGTTGACATCTTCAAGCGCGTTCCAAGTGATTTGAACACGGAACGCCAGAAATCAGCAGTGAATCGTGGATCTCTGTCTGATACGAGTTCACGGGGCAACCCATGAAGTCGGAAGATGGTGTCAATAACGACACAAGCACAGCCACTTGCCGTGATTGTCTCTGGTACAGCCACAAGGTGTACCATTTTGCTGAATCTGTCAACAAATACGAGAATACCCGTATTCCCGCGTGCGTCTTTAGGTAACCCGAAGACGAAATCCATTGAGATGGATTCCCAGCACTCAGCTGGAACCGGTAGAGGCTGTAAAGGTGCACGCAGTGAAGGACTTGACTTCACTCGTTGGCAGACTTCGCATGCGCGAACATACTTTCGCACAAACTGATACTGGCGGGGCCAGTAAAAGTCTCCACTTACCGTGAGATATGTTTTCTCTCGGCCACGATGTCCTCCTATAGGAGCATCGTGATACTTCAAACATGATCCGCAAACGCAGATCAGTATCATCTGGAATGACAACACGTGGTGTGTCACCAGAAACGGCTGTATAATACAGTAAACCGTTACGAGTAGTGCATCGATCTGATGCAGATCGATACGCAGACGACAATCGTTTCAACGATTCTCGAGATGGTTGGGAGAGATGTGACAACAACTTCACTATCTCACCATCTTGGGCGTATGCCCGCCTCACATCATCATACAACGTTGTAGATGGAACTGAGGACGTCATAACCGCAACAGTGACTGTCTCACTGTTGGGTTTCGCGACTGTTTCAAAGTCGGGACGACGTGAGAGTGCATCAGCGACAACATTAAGTCGTCCTGGTTTGTACTCGACCGTAAAGTTGTATTCTGCAAAGAATGACAACCACCGCGCCATTCGTTGTGAAAGGTGCGGGCTGTTCACTGCCGTGCGTAATGACGCATGGTCAGTGTAAACAACGAAGGGTCTATCTCCTAATAGATAGACTCTGAACTTCGCGAGTGCATACTTCATGGCAAGGAGTTCCTTGTCATGCACTGGATAGTTCCGCTCAGCTGGTTGCAGCTGACGCGACTGATAGCAGACGACGCGTTCAACGCCTTCAAGATCGTACTGCATTAATGCACAGCCGATTGCGAAATCGCTGGCATCACAGACCACATGAAATGGCCTGTCCTGATCGGCTATTGCTAGGACTGGGGATTGCATCAAGATCTGCTTGATACCCTCAAAGGAGCGTTGACATTCAGCGTTCCATAACCACCTCTCGTTCTTTTTCAACAAACGAGAGAGGTGAACAGTCATCTCGGCGTAATTGCGTGAATACTTATGCAAATACGCCGCTAGCCCAAGGAATTTTCGAAGACCTTTGACATCGACCGGCACAGGCCAGTCGGTGATCGCCTTGATCTTTTCGGGATCAGGACGTACACCGTTCTTACCAACGATGCACCCAAGAAGTGGTATTTCGCTTGCTGCAAATATACACTTCTTGAGGTTAGCATACAATTGATGCTTTCGCATGATAGTAAGAACTTGTCGGACGTGGTACCTGTGAACCTCAACGTCCGACTTTCCATCCATAGCTCGACTATGGATGAATACGTCATCGAAATAACTCGGCGCGAATTCTCGTACTGGCCTCAACAGATGTGATACACATCTGTTGAACGTGGCAGGGGCATTACTGAGCCCTTGAGGCATTACTAGCCATTCCCAGAGCATACCGCTAGGCGTGCTAACTGCGGTATAGGGTATATCCCGTTCCCGCATTAGGATTTGATAGAAGCCATCCATCAAATCCATGGACGAAAAGATGGTACTCTTTGACATACCATCAATGATTACGTCCTTCCTCGGTATCGGCGTCTGAGCCGGTACCGTTGCAGCGTTCAATTTGTTGAACGCGTGCACTATCCGCCACCCTCCTGTTGCTTTTCGCACACAGAAGGTCGGAGAGCTATGTGGGGAAGTTGATTCCCTCACATGGCCCGCTGCTAAACGATCGGCAAAGAACTTGTCGATCGCAAGTACTTGTTCACGAGGCAGTGGCCACTGCTTCATGACACAGTACTTCGAGCCTGGTTTAAGCTCGACCTCGTGTCGAATACCTTTATCCTTCGGTAATTCACACGAAACAGTTTCAGGGAATACATCCTTGAATTCAACCAAATCTTCATAGAGAGGATTTTTCTTGAGCGATTCCCATGATTGGGAGTCATATCGCTCAATTCGTGTCTTTTCATCTAGGACACTCTCGTCCATAGATGAACTACTGAGAACTCTCTCGTTCTCAGTAAACACTGTTGCTGACCTTATGTCGGTTACACACTCGTCGTCAGCGACGAGTATGCAGATCTGCTTGACTTTACCACTACGCAGATCACGCAAGAACCTCTTATGTTCGAGCGTTGGCAACTGAGTGATCTCCGAAGTTAACTTCGGAGGCGCAATCAGATCAAGTGTATAAGCGCCTACACTTGATCCGTTATTGACTATGACATTCAATGTCTCTGTCATTTCCTGGGGACTTATTCCCTCAGGCTTCGAAGGACTTATTCCTTCGTCTTCCCGGGGACTTATTCCCTCGGGTTCCGGGGAACTTATTTCCGCCGTATCTGTAATCTTGGGACTTATTCCCTTTACTTCCTCTAGCTGGGGTTGCGCAACCACAGCGAGATCCTCTACGAAAGACTCTCCAGTCGATCTAGGATTATCGTTTCGCTTAACCTGAGCGATCGATTGTTTCTCTTCTAGATGTTCCCCGCTAGGGATACATCTTTGTCCCAGTCCACCCGACTTATTCGAGTGGTGGACCTTCGGCGCAGCCTGTGTTTCCTCACAGCCGCCGGAACTTTGCTCCGAAGTGTAACCGTTTGGTACACTAAGGTTTTGTGCAGTCGTACAAACGACCGTATCACAAGTGAGGCCATCGAACTCACTCGTAGTACATCCACACGCTTGTGGACGCTCCAAAACGTTCATCAGATGGCCATCTGATGAACAAGCGGCAGGCATCGTTACTGTCCGATGTTGCCAGTTTACTCGTGGTTCGTACCTTCTGAGCCACGGTATTCCAAGGATGACATCAAATTTGTCATCCAAATCCAATACGATAAAGTCATCGTCATATTGGGTATCTTCTAGCGTATAGTGGATTTTCACTACACGCTTCATGACGGTTACGGATGCGCCTGTCGCAAGACGTACCGTCATCCTCGTAGGAGGTGTGTCACATTCACTGAATTTAAAGTGACCATCTTCTAGCGATTGGCGTCGCACAAAATTGTTGGACGCCCCACAATCGACTAGAGCTCGAAGGGACAACTTATTCGTCACTTCGAGTTTCAAGGTAATGAGTGAGACCTCATTACCTAGAGCAGCAACGCACAACGTTTGTGTGTTGGGGAGCAACCTTCATCAAGAGGCCTACAAATTCTCTTGACGTTGCTAGACCAGTAGGGTGCTCCGCACCTACTGATCCTGTCCGTTTTTTGACGGTCCATCCCGTTGTTGCGTCTTTGCACCAACTGCGGACCCTCGTCCCTGCCCCTTTCTCATGGGTGGACGGTCACTACGCCCAGTGTCGCGAGACACTGGACGAGGGGCACTACACTCGTAAGCGTAGTGTCCTGTCTTTTGACATCTGTTGCATCTCTGCTACTTCTTGTAGCCTGTAGAGCGAGCCTTCTCGCTCTCTACATAACAGAGTTCCATCGGCTCTGGACCTCCGTTGTCATATCGTCTCGGTTGACGATATGATGTCGAGCTGGCGCGAGCCTGTCTCAGACTGAAGTCTTCCTGCTCCGCAATGGAAATGGCTTGTTCTAGTGAATCTAGTTCAAGCCGGAACAGGTGAGTCTTGACGGGACCATCCGCAAGACCCTGCATGAACACCGAAACCAACGTGTGTTCATCCACCGGATTGGAGCTTATACAACTCGTGAGATGTCGTATGTGTTGAGCGTAAGCGTGCACATCACGCTTACCCTGCTTGAGCTTCAAGAGTTCGGTTCGAGCTCTGAACTCAGCTCTAGGCGGTTCAAACGTTTGTCTGAGCCGCGACTTGAAGACTTCTAACGACCCAAATGCATATGGGTCGTGCAGCTTGAGCCCCAGTGCCCAAGTCTTGGCACGTCCTGCCAGATTTGACTGGGCAAATGCAACTTGCATATCCCCGTCGTCGATGCGACGCGCCCTTATGGCGTCATCCAATTCGACGAACCATCTCAAGAGGGAGTCCTCTTCGACTCCCTCATACTTCGAGATGTCAATCTTCAAGGTTTCGGGTCGAAGCGGGTGCATCGACCCGCCAGCAGCAGCCTGCTGCTGTCTCAACAGTTCAAACTGTTGAGCACCTTGTTCTCTCAACAACTCCGCTTGTTGAGAACCTTGTTGGTGAAGCAAGGCTACTTTCTCGCGTTCAGCGTCAAGTTCATTTTGAATGAACTTGGCGATAGTAGCATGTTGGGCATCTCTATTGAGAGCCTCTAGCATGACGCTAACAGCATGGATGCCCATGGTCGAACCCATTCGTTCAACCGCATCCCATTCGACATCGCTCAAATGGGAGTAGCCGTCACGCGTAGCGTGAAAGCTTTGGTCATCTTCATTATCCAACATATTCATGTTAGATGTGAACGTGGTCCTTGGACGGACTACGAAGTGCTACCACCTGTAACGGGGCACCCTGAAGCTTGTACTGGTGACAGTACAAGCTACTTATTCTGATAACAGAATAAGGCGGTGCCTCGGAACTTCACGTACACTCGTACGTGCAGAGGAAGACGGTAAGAAGAAGCGAGTACTTGGTTAAAGTAAAAAGTAGAACTGCATTTAGCATAGTTAATGCCTGCGATAAATCACTATTTATCTTCATCTAACTACGTCTGAATACAAATGTGCATATCAACTATCTGCTCACCACTCATAGCGTGCGTCTGTCGTGGCGCGTCTTCGTTGGTTGATATAAAATGGCCTATATCAACCAATTAGGAACTACTTGTAAGTGCTACAGAATATTTGTCCTTATGACAAAATTCGGAGAATACAACTCTTATAGTTATATTCTATTAACAATTTCTTTTAAATTGTTATGTAACGATTCACCCCGTTACACGATGGATTGCACAACGTGCTCTTATGCGGTCCGTACGCAACCATTCTGGAGCGGATTGTGCAACGTGCGCGTAGACGAAGTCAACCGCAATCATTCTGGAGCGGGATTGCACACCGTGTGCATAAACGACGTCAAAAGCCATTCTGAAACGAGCGCCTCCGCTACATCCTCCCTGAGCGGAGTTCGCGTTGGTGCATTAGGAAGTCTTTCACTAAATCGCGCCAATGAGTAACGTGTCTGATGTTTTTTTCTTTTTCCCAGGTACACTCGTGCTCCGGAAGTCCATGCCACCGGACGAGCCACTCCGGTTGTCTGTTAACCATGCGCTTTTTGACAAGCGCTTCCACAATGTGCAACTCGTCACCGGTGGCTTCATCAAGTATCACTGGTACTGCTTTCGGCACCGGTCGACTGCTAAACCGCACAGGGTATGGCACAAAGTGGCTTAACAAATCGATGTTGAAGCTCGGGTGCAACTTGAGGAGTGCTCGAGGGAGAGTCAGCTTGGCCACATTCTGGTTGATCAATTTTTTAATCTTGAACGGCCCAATCTTCTTCGCAACTAGCTTTGAATTTGTTGCATCTTGACCGTTGTTGCGATGGCGTAAATTGAGATGTCTAGCGTCAAGCATAACCATGTCCCCAGCATTAAACGTAACACTGCTGCGTTTCCTGTCGTAATACTCTTTTTGTTTCTTCTGAGCATTCTCTATGTTCTTCCGTGCAAATTCGATGATCTTCTGTCTTCTGTCTGCAAATTTCTTAGCATACTCGGATATACCGATCTTCGTCACGTTGTCACTGGAGTCGCCTGTCATGGCGTTGTTGCACTTCCGCCCCGTGTCAATTTCGAATGGTGAGAGCTGGGTAGACGTGCTTACCAGTGTAGCGTGCGCAAACTCGATAGTGCCGAGATGCTCTGACCAGTCACTTCCATGGTACGAAACCATACATCGCAGAGCATCTTCCAAAATTAAATTTTGACGCTCTGTTTGACCGTCCGCTTGTGCGCGGTGCGATGTCGTCATTGAAAGCCTAGTACCCATAACCTCCATGAGAGATCTCCAAAAAGTTGGACGTAAATTTCGGGTCACGATCGCTTATGATGACCTTCGGTAGACCGTGATAGCGGACTACCACATCAAAAAGAAAAGTCTAGCAACTTGTGGCGCGTCGACGTTGGTGTGCGTGGCAGCATATCTTGGACGTTTCGATAGTTTATCAACTACAGTCATGATCGCGTCAAACCCGCTTGACACTGGTAGTTCCGTAATAAAATCCATCGATACAACTTCCCAACAGTCTTCTGGTATAGGTATTGGCATGAGCTTTCCATTTTTCTTCAGTGTGCTCGTCTTCCATCGCACACATGTACCACAGCTTGATACATAATCGCGTACATCTTGTTCCAAGTTTGGCCAAAAGTACCATTACGCCACCTTTAACTGAGTGCGACGTATTCCTGGATGTGCCGCTGTGTTCCCATCGTGATGTTCTCGGAGGATACCGGTGATCAAACGATTGTCCGATGGAACGCAGAGTCGATTGACAGCATGCTTGGTTTTCAGATAAAGAAGCTCATTCTTTAACACGTACTTCTCATGAACGTTGTTGAGAGCACTCTTAAATTCCCGATCATGCGCGTAGCCGACCTTAAACGATTTCTTCATCGCAGGGGAGAGGTGCACACTTGATACCACGAACTCGATGTGCTGAACTTGATCCTGCACGTGTACTTGTTGAATCTGATTTACACCAACGTGGTGAAGTACATTATCCACCTCCCGAAGGTCATGCACATCGAGCAGAAGGTCTTGATCGAGACGCGAGAGAGCGCACAGAGCTGTCAAGTGGACACCGTGACGACGCAGAGTTTTTTTTGTGAATAACGCACTGCTGCCCACAGTCATGAATACGAGGCATTGAAACTAATAAACTGTCTGCGAGCGGAGTGACCCCGTTCGGCCGTGACAACGCATCGGCGACCACGTTGGAGGTGCCTTTGACATGGTGCAACGTAAAGTCGAATTGCGAGAAAAATGTCAACATTCGAGCCAATTTTGGTGTAACAATGGGATGATGAAGCATCCAGCGGCACGCAGTATTGTCTGTAAACACATCGAAAGAACGTCCATGTAAGTAATGGCGTCATTTGGAAAGAGCCGTCTTGATCGCTAATAGTTCTTGCTCGTGGGCAGGCCACGCTTGCTCATGAACCCCAAACTTCTTAGAGTAAAATGCAATGGGGTGATCTTTGCCATCCGCGATCTGGGACAGGACGCCACCCATGCAGCACCCGGAAGCATCTGTGGTGACAGTAAACTTGATCGCGAAGTTCGGTAGCTGAAGCACAGGTGCTTGTTGAAGGGCGACCTTTAAGTCGCGAAATGCTTTGTCTTGATCGTGCGACCACTCCCACCGCACTTCCTTTTTAACGAGCTTCGTAAGGGGTAGTGCAATTTGTGCGAAAGCACAGATAAACCGTCGATAGTATCCAGCTAATCCAAGAAAGCTCATTAGTTCTTTCCGCGTGCTTGGTGCCTTCATCTGCTCAATAGCTGTTGTCTTCCGCTGATCCAGACTCAAGCCATTCTTTGAAATTGTATAGCCTAAAAACGCTACACTGTCCTTGCCAAAAGAGCACTTTCCCCGATGTGCGTAGAGCTTCTCTTGGCGCAGTACCTTAAACACTTCGCGCAGATGCCGAATGTGATCTGCGTTCGACTTGGAAAAGACGCAAATGTCGTCAAGGTATGCAACCACGAAGTCAAATTTATCGAAGAGGACCCGCATAAGTCGATACCAGACACCTGGCATTCCTGCCAAGCCCATAGGCGCAACACACCATTGGTATGTCTCCTTGTGAGTCCGAAAAGCCGTGTATTGACGACTGGGTTCGTTTACAAGCATCTGATGATATCCTTGAGCCAAGTCTATCACGGTGTAAACAGTACAGCCTGTCATTTGATCAAAAAGCTCCTCAATGAGAGGCAGAGGAATTTTTGGAATCTTGGTCTGACTATTCACGTATCGATAATCGATAACCCAGCGAATAGGTTGCGAGCAATTTCCCGACCGAAGCCACTCACCCCGGGTGGGAGCTTGTCCAGTAACATGGTTCTTTTTTGGTATACCAAAGACGTTGGAAACCCACGGTGAGTTTGAGACTTCTACCCAGCCTTTCTTAAGGTTCTCTGTCACGAAGGACTCGAGCGCTTCTTGCTCCGTCTTGGACAGACGAAAGGGGGCTCGAGAGCTGGGAATGGCATCCGGATTCATCTCTAGTTCAAACTGCACAGCACGTTTCGGCGGGAGACCATCAGGAAGCGTTTCAGGAAAGACATCGCTATAATTCAAAATAAGATCATAAACCCAAACAGGGATGATATCGCTTGTGGGAACAGGGGATACCTTTACCATGTAAATCTCGGCCTATTCGTCTCGTCTCACATACAATTGTCGCGAAGGTCCACTTCGTACAGGGCTTAGATTATACTGATCTGGATGGGCCAACCCGTTCTCGTTCATACCATCTGAGTTATCGTGAGCCTGTTGGTGTAGAATTTTACCGGAGATCCAGTCCACCTGCGGGGCGTACGTGCGAAACCACGGAAGCCCAAAAATGACGTCCTGATCAGCATCTAAGGGACTCTCCGTAAAAACCATGTGGGCAAATTCTATGTCACTCATCCGAACAGTTGCTTTAACTGTCGATAACTCGGCTGGCGGGGTTAGAGAGCCATCAAACCTCTTCAGCTGGCCCCGATGTTTACTGATGACTCGTGACGCAAGGCCTGGACGAATCACGTTGGTCGAAGCTCCACAATCCAATAAGATTGTCACTGGCACACCATCAACTAAACCGCGTTAACGCAGCAAAGTAGTCTGTTGATCGTCCAAGTGTACTATAACAGCGTTGATAGTGTATTGTTCGAACACGATCCCACTTTCATCTTCTTTTGCTTCTTGCACACTATCAATCATGCTGATTCTCACATTCGGTCGCGATGAGCTCTGATTTCGTGGCCTCGTCGGACATTCTGCGAGTCGATGTCCTGGCTGTTTACAATAGAAGCACAATTTGCGCTGGAAGCATTCCTCCTTAGACACCACTTGCACATTATCAATTTCCATAGGCTCTGGCCGGGCATCTTCGAAGCGCGGACGCGGCCTTATTTCTTGTCTTCGAAACGGCTGCGCGCGTCTGGCGGTCCCGACGCCAAAATGCGATCGCTCGAAGTCATAAGCAACATTGATCGCTTGACTTAAAGATGAGCATCGTCTATATTCGACTTCGGCGCGAGTTTGGTTCTTTAATCCCTGAGTAAAATAGAAAATGGAGTCGACATCACTCATATTTCGGACCTGAATCATCAGCTGTCGGAAGCGATTAACAAACTCCCCAAGGTCCCGGCATTGACCCTGATCCAGGTTTCGAAGCTGGTCACGGAGACGTATCTGAAGGTCTTCTGGTACGAACTCTTGCTCCAGATGAAAAAAAGTTCATCCACAGTCGTGATCCTACTTCTGGACCAAACAAACCATTCCGCTGCAGTGCCTACGAGCATGCTACCAATGGTTGGAATGATTGTAGCTGCCATCGTCGCGCACTTCCAATTGACACGCCTCACGGTAAAGTACTGCTGTACTTGTTCTTTAAAAAGCGCAAACGATTCTTGTACTTGCCCTCCATACCGGGGAACCTTCACTGCGTCCAAACGTAAGTACTTAAGTGTTGTAGCTTCCGCAATCTTTCTCATCATTTCTTGTTGCTGCGACATCATCGCCAGCATTGTAACGGGGCACCCTGAAGCTTGTACTGGTGACAGTACAAGCTACTTATTCTGATAACAGAATAAGGCGGTGCCTCGTAACTTCACGTACACTCGTACGTGCAGAGGAAGACGGTAAGAAGAAGCGAGTACTCGGTTAGAGTAAAAAGTAGAACTGTATTTATAATAGTTAATGTCTGCAATAAATCACTATTTATCTTCATCTAACTATGTCTAAATACAAATGTGTAAATCAGTTATCTGCTCACCACTCATTGCGTGCGTCTGTCGTGGCGCGTCTTCGTTGGTTGATATAATGGCCTATATCAACCAATTAGGAACTACTTGGAAGTGCTACAGAATATTGTCCTTATGACAATATTCTGAGAATATAACTCTTATAGTTATATTCTATTAACAATTTCTTATAAATTGTTATGTAACGATTCACCCCGTTACATCACCCCCCTTAACCATCAGTCACTTTAGTGACTGATTGACTAAATGGATACTCGTCCCAAATCATTTGGGACGGGGTTTGCACTTGTTGGTCCGCGTCCACTTTCCAACATCTCATCGCATGGTAAACAAGCCCATGCGATGCGCGAGCAAGGCCGCCGAGAGCGCGTCTGCACGTCTCTGTGCGGACGCCGAAGCAGAAACTACAGCAACTGATATCCCATCGGTTGCTGAATCGACTCAGCCTGTATCACCTGGTGATGCAGGCGCTGGTCATGAAGACACTCGTGTCTTCACAGAGTACGAGCTCGGTGTCTCGTACTCTCCTGATACGGATGACGGATCCGTATCGACGGCAATTGAATCCAAGCCGCCTGCCAAGCGTGGCATGGACGATGCTTTGCGTCGCAGCATCTTTGGTTCATCTGATGAGTCAGATGAACCATCGCCGAAGCGAAGGCGCTCGAGGTCGCGAGACTCGGGCGCTAATAGTGGTGTCGTTTCTCCAATGGACACCACTTCACAGCGAGGTGCCAGTACTTCTGTCGGCACGTCGCAGGAAGAGCGGGACCGCAATGTGTTGCGTCTCGCTCCAGAAAAGAAGGCATGGATGCCTCCTAAATCTGTCATGGATCACTTGTCGGCGACGACGAGTGATCGTTATCGAACACGATTGTTCGATTCGTCGAGGATTCATCACCTTGACCCCAGCGCGAAAGACTATCGCGCTGAACATGAGTTCTTCATCGATGCTTTCTTCAGACATCGATGGTACAGTGGGAATCACAAACGTGATGGTCCCTCACTACTTCAGGCGTGGAACGCCTACATCCATAATCTCGAGGATGTAGGTCGTGACGCTTGGAACGACAAACTTATCAAAGCTCGTGATAAGTTTGAAAAGCGAACCCCGACAGGTGCACGCTATAAGCTGCATCGTCTGTCAAGGGAGAAAGGATTACCCTGCCTCTCTTGGGGAGACTCGTGCCCATGTTGTGTGAACAACTCTGCACGAGCACCTAAGGAGGCTTACCTCCTTACCAGCCCGTGGTGGCGCGTACGTGTCTCTACTGAGATGTACGAAGGGATTGACAACCTGAAATCCCTTTACGACCGTGCCGGGAAGACTTTCTCCGGCGGTCCTTCTGCGGCACAGGATGTGTCGCGTCGTACTGCCTCGACCAGACCCAGTACGTCAACCATCAATTGGGAGCGGGGCTCCCAAGAATCCCAGGACGGGGGATAGCCGCGCCACCGGACGAGGTAACTCGTCCGACGTCCAGTTCACGTCGCGGTGGTTCAACAGCTGCTCTACTAGATAGCGCTGGCCACCGCGAGAGTCCTCTAATGGAGGTGGAGGAGGAGGAAAGACGCTCTCCACACGATCATGTGGATCGGTGTGTTCCCGAGAGCTTCTTTGATCGCGTAACGCAAGGGTTACGCGACGATCTCGAGCATGAGCGGAATAGGCGTCTCCAGATGGTGGACACTGCCTCGAAGCATCGAGCTGAGTTTGCCTTTGCTCATCTTGAGAACGAGAGATCGCTGACATCTCTTCGTGACGAGCTAAGGGTAGCTCGTGGGATTGTTGATCGGTCTCGGGATGAGATAGTTGCTCTTCAGACCCTTGTTGATGCCCACCATCGGGAGCACAAGGCTCTCTGCGAGATGCTTGAGCGCAAGGGCGTTCTTCATCGGAAGAAGCAGCGTACTGATGGTACGGCTTAAGCCGACCAACGTAAAACGTGGGATGCGTTCGCATCTTACGTGGTAACTCGATCGTGTATGCATTGCCTAGGCGGTGCAATACACGAAATGGGCCAATGTACTTGGGTAGTAGTTTACTGCTACCCAAGTTAGTCACTACATGTTTTGGTAGATTAACCGTAGACAGTAGGACTAAGTCACCTTTATTAAATAAAAGAGTGTTTGCCCTTCCATTCTTGTCAGCGTTTTGCTTTTGCTTATCCACCGCTTCGGCGATGGAGTCTTGCACAAAACGGACTACCGTTTCACGAGCCAGTATGAACTCATCTGATGACTCGTTAGCTTCAGTGTGCTGTGAGCGCACTGCAGCGACAACAACCTTTTCTTCAGTGAGGGCTTCCGCACTCTCACTGGGATCATTGTCTTCAGTGAGGGCTTCCGCACTCTCACTGGCATCATCTTCTTCGATATCGATGTTATCGATATCGGCATCAAACGCAATGACTTCTTCGTCAGAGCGTGATGAGCGTGAACCAAATCGGTTTTTGCTCGCGCGAGTCCCTCCCCCCTTAAACCAGAGTTACACTCTAGTAAGGTGGGTACACGCGGATGGCGCAAGCCATTCACGTAAAACGGTGTATGTGTCGTGGACGCATGCACCGAGTTGTTGATGGCAAACTCTACCATCGGCAAAAACTCACTCCAACTCTTAAAGGAGTGTACGTATCCTCGAAGTATCTCTTCAAGGACACGATTGGCACGTTCCGTCTGACCATCTGACTCTGGATGATCAGATGTTGACATCTTCAAGCGCGTTCCGAGTGATTTGAACACGGAACGCCAGAAATCAGCAGTGAATCGTGGATCTCTGTCTGATACGAGTTCACGGGGGCAACCCATGAAGTCGGAAGATGGTGTCAATAAAGACACAAGCACAGCCACTTGCCGTGATTGTCTCTGGTACAGCCACAAGGTGTACCATTTTTGCTGAATCTGTCAACAAATACGAGAATACCCGTATTCCCGCGTGCGTCTTTGGGTAACCCGAAGACGAAATCCATTGAGATGGATTCCCAGCACTCAGCCGGAACCGGTAGAGGCTGTAAAGGTGCACGCAGTGAAGGACTTGACTTCACTCGTTGGCAGACTTCGCATGCGCGAACATACTTTCGCACAAACTGATACTGGCGGGGCCAGTAAAAGTCTCGACTTACCGTGAGATATGTTTTCTCTCGGCCACGATGTCCTCCCTATAGGAGCATCGTGATACTCGAACATGATCCGCAAACGCAGATCAGTATCATCTGGAATGACAACACGTGGTGTGTCACCAGAAACGGCTGTATAGTACAGTAAACCGTTACGAGTAGTGTATCGATCTGATGCAGATCGATACGCAGACGACAATCGTTTCAACGATTCTCGAGATGGTTGGGAGAGATGTGACAACAACTTCACTATCTCACCATCTTGGGCGTATGCCCGCCTCACATCATCATACAACGTTGTAGATGGAACTGAGGACGTCATAACCGCAACAGTGACTGTCTCACTGTTGGGTTTCGCGACTGTTTCAAAGTCGGGACGACGTGAGAGTGCATCAGCGACGACATTAAGTCGTCCTGGTTTGTACTCGACCGTAAAGTTGTATTCTGCAAAGAATGACAACCACCGCGCCATTCGTTGTGAAAGGTGCGGGCTGTTCACTGCCGTGCGTAAGGACGCATGGTCAGTGTAAACAACGAAGGGTCTATCTCCTAATAGATAGACTCTGAACTTCGCGAGTGCATACTTCATGGCAAGGAGTTCCTTGTCATGCACTGGATAGTTCCGCTCAGCTGGTTGCAGCTGACGCGACTGATAGCAGACGACGCGTTCAACGCCTTCAAGGTCGTACTGCATTAATGCACAGCCGATTGCGAAATCGCTGGCATCACAGACCACATGAAATGGCCTGTCCTGATCGGCTATTGCTAGGACTGGGGATTGTATCAAGCTCTGCTTGATACCCTCAAAGGAGCGTTGACATTCAGCGTTCCATAACCACCTCTCGTTCTTTTTCAACAAACGAGAGAGGTGTACAGTCATCTCGGCGTAATTGCGTGAATACTTATGCAAATACGCCGCTAGCCCAAGGAATTTTCGAAGACCTTTGACATCGACCGGCACGGGCCAGTCGGTGATCGCCTTGATCTTTTCGGGATCAGGACGTACACCGTTCTTACCAACGATGCACCCAAGAAGTGGTATTTCGCTTGCCGCAAATATACACTTCTTGAGGTTAGCATACAATTGATGCTTTCGCATGATTGTAAGAACTTGTCGGACGTGGTACCTGTGAACCTCAACGTCCGACTTTCCATCCATAGCTCGACTATGGATGAATACGTCATCGAAATAACTCGGCGCGAATTCTCGTACTGGTCTCAACAGATGTGATACACATCTGTTGAACGTGGCAGGGGCATTACTAAGCCCTTGTGGCATTACTAGCCATTCCCAGAGCATGCCGCTAGGCGTGCTAACTGCGGTATAGGGTATATCCTGTTCTCGCATAAGGATTTGATAGAAGCCATCCATCAAATCCATGGACGAAAAGATGGTACTCTTTGACATACCATCAATGATTACGTCCTTCCTCGGTATCGGCGTCTGAGCCGGTACCGTTGCAGCGTTCAATTTGTTAAACGCGTGCACTATCCGCCACCCTCCTGTTGCTTTTCGCACACAGAAGGTCGGAGAGCTATGTGGGGAAGTTGATTCCCTCACATGGCCCGCTGCTAAACGATCGGCAAAGAACTTGTCGATCGCAAGTACTTGTTCACGAGGCAGTGGCCACTGCTTCATGACACAGTACTTCGAGCCTGGTTTAAGCTCGACTTCGTGTCGAATACCTTTATCCTTCGGTAATTCGCACGGAACAGTTTCAGGGAATACATCCTTGAATTCAACCAAATCTTCATAGAGAGGATTTTCCTTGAGCGATTCCCATGATTGGGACTCATATCGCTCAATTCGTGTCTTTTCATCTAGGACACTCTCGTCCATAGATGAACTACTGAGAACTCTCTCGTTCTCAGTAAACACTGTTGCTGACCTTATGTCGGTTACATACTCGTCGTCAGCGACGAGTATGCAGATCTGCTTGACTTTGCCACTACGCAGATCACGCAAGAACCTTTATGTTCGAGCGTTGGCAACTGAGTGATCTCCGAAGTTAACTTCGGAGGCGCAATCAGATCAAGTGTATAAGCGCCTACACATGATCCGTTATTGACTATGACATTCAATGTCTCTGTCATTTCCTGGGGACTTATTCCCTCAGGCTTCGAAGGACTTATTCCTTCGTCTTCCCGGGGACTTATTCCCGCGGGTTTCGGGGAACTTATTTCCGCCGTATTTGTAATCTTGGGACTTATTCCCTTTACTTCCTCTAGCTGGGGTTGCGCAACCACAGCGAGATCCTCTACGAAAGACTCTCCAGTCGATCTAGGATTATCGTTTCGCTTAACCTGAGCGATCGATTGTTTCTCTTCTAGATGTTCCCCTCTAGGGATACATCTTTGTCCCAGTCCACCCGACTTATTCGAGTGGTGGACCTTCGGCGCAGCCTGTGTTTCCTCACAGCCGCCGGAACTTTGCTCCGAAGTGTAACCGTTTGGTACACTAAGGTTTTGTGCAGTCGTACTAACGACCGTACCACAAGTGAGGCCATCGCACTCACTCGTAGTACATCCACACGCTTGTGGACGCTCCAAAACGTTCATCAGATGGCCATCTGATGAACAAGCGGCAGGCATCGTTACTGTCCGATGTTGCCAGTTTACCCGTGGTTCGTACCTTCTGAGCCACGGTATTCCAAGGATGACATCAAATTTGTCATCCAAATCCAATACGATAAAGTCATCGTCGTATTGGGTATCTTCTAGCGTATAGTGAATCTTCACTATACGCTTCATGACGGTTACGGATGCGCCTGTCGCAAGACGTACCGTCATCCTCGTAGGAGGTGTGTCACATTCACTGAATTTAAAGTGACCATCTTCTAGCGATTGGCGTCGCACAAAATTGTTGGACGCCCCACAATCGACTAGAGCTCGAAGGGACAACTTATTCGTCACTTCGAGTTTCAAGGTAATGAGTGAGATCTCATTACCTAGAGCAGCAACGCACAATGTCTGTGTGTTGGGAGCAACCTTCATCAAGAGGCCTACAAATTCTCTTGACGTTGCTGGATCAGTAGGGTGCTCCGCACCTACTGATCCTGTCCGTTTTTTGACGGTCCATCCCGTTGTTGCGTCTTTGCACCAACTGCGGACCCTCGTCCCTGCCCCTTTCTCATGGGTGGACGGTCACTACGCCCAGTGTCGCGAGACACTGGACGAGGGGCACTACACTCGTAAGCGTAGTGTCCTGTCTTTTGACATCTGTTGCATCTCTGCAACTTCTTGTAGCCTGTAGAGCGAGCCTTCTCGCTCTCTACATAACAGAGTTCCATCGGCTCTGGACCTCCGTTGTCATATCGTCTCGGTTGACGATATGATGTCGAGCTGGCGCGAGCCTGTCTCAGACTGAAGTCTTCCTGCTCCGCAATTGAAATGGCTTGTTCTAGTGAATCTAGTTCAAGCCGGAACAGGTGAGTCTTGACGGGACCATCCGCAAGACCCTGCATGAACACCGAAACCAACGTGTGTTCATCCACCGGATTGGAACTTATACAACTCGTGAGATGTCGTATATGTTGAGCGTAAGCGTGCACATCACGCTTACCCTGCTTGAGCTTCAAGAGTTCGGTTCGAGCTCTGAACTCAGCTCTAGGCGGTTCAAACGTTTGTCTGAGCCGCGACTTGAAGACTTCCAACGACCCAAACGCGTATGGGTCGTGCAGCTTGAGCCCCAGTGCCCAAGTCTTGGCACGTCCTGCCAGATTTGACTGGGCAAATGCAACTTGCATATCCCCGTCGTCGATGCGACGCGCCCTTATGGCGTCATCCAATTCGACGAACCATCTCAAGAGGGAGTCTTCTTCGACCCCCTATACTTTGAGATGTCAATCTTCAAAGTCTCGGGCCGACGCGAGTGCATCGACCCGCCAGCAGCAGCCTGCTGCTGTCTCAACAGTTCAAACTGTTGAGCACCTTGTTCTCTCAACAACTCTGCTTGTTGAGAACCTTGTTGGTGAAGCAAGGCTACTTTCTCGCGTTCTGCGTCAAGTTCATTTTGAATGAACTTGGCGATAGTAGCATGTTGGGCATCTCTATTGAGAGCCTCTAGCATGACGCTAACAGCATGGATGCCCATGGTCGAACCCATTCGTTCAACCGCATCCCATTCGACATCGCTCAAATGGGAGTAGCCGTCACGCGTAGCGTGAAAGCTTTGGTCATCTTTCATCATCCAACATATTCATGTTGGATGTGAACGCGGTCCTGGACGGACTACGAAGTGCTACCAGGTGTAACGGGGCACCCTGAAGCTTGTACTGGTGACAGTACAAGCTACTTATTCTGATAACAGAATAAGGCGGTGCCTCGTAACTTCACGTACACTCGTACGTGCAGAGGAAGACGGTAAGAAGAAGCGAGTACTCGGTTAGAGTAAAAGTAGAACTGTATTTATAATAGTTAATGTCTGCAATAAATCACTATTTATCTTCATCTAACTATGTCTAAATACAAATGTGTAAATCAGTTATCTGCTCACCACTCATTGCGTGCGTCTGTCGTGGCGCGTCTTCGTTGGTTGATATAATGGCCTATATCAACCAATTAGGAACTACTTGGAAGTGCTACAGAATATTGTCCTTATGACAATATTCTGAGAATATAACTCTTATAGTTATATTCTATTAACAATTTCTTATAAATTGTTATGTAACGATTCACCCCGTTACAAGCATGCTTTGCATGAGCTCAGCATTTGACGGCCCGCTCATGGCGTGCACAAAACTTGTCGCCCAGCTGTTTTGCAGTCAGATCGGGGTCGGGTCGGGTTCAGGGTTTGCGTGTCGGTCGGGTCTTCTGACCAACAAGTGCTACCAGATATGGTGCCTGGGATGCAATGCCTTGATGGAAAATACAAAAGTGATTGCATTAAGTCCTTAGTTCACACACAAGCTGCTACTTTAAGCCTTTTGGACTCCATGGAACTTCTTTCTCGATTTCAACTGGGACTAAACTCGATGGATTGCACAACGTGCTCTTATGCGGTCCGTCCGCGACTATTCTGGAGCGGGATTGTGCAACGTGCGCGTAGACGAAGTCAACCGCAATCATTCTGGAGCGGGATTGCACACCGTGTGCATAAACGACGTCAAAAGCCATTCTGAAACGAGCGCCTCCGCTACATCAGCCGTCGGTATAAATTTCGGTCTAGCCAGGATTTTTATCAAGAGTCCTACGGGTTCGAGTAGTGTCTCTGCGCAAAGTGAAAGCCAAACTTTCAAAACCTGCTTTTGTCTGTGGCTGTTGGTCTGGATAACGCTAGATGTACCTTACACATTGTACAAAGTGCGATACAGCGTGCTCTATCTTGTGTATGTGTCTGTACGTAACGCTAGGTGAACAGAAAACGTCGTTCTTAGTGCAACGAAGCCTTTCACCTCCTTGTAGGAAGATATGTATGTTAAATATCACTCTGTGGTTAAGTCCTTTGTTACTACAGTTCAGGTCAGAAGCATAGAACAGTCAGCTCCCTCTATAACATCCCGTGATATCGCATCCTCCCTCTATAAGATCGAAATTTTGGGTGAACAGAGACGATATAAAAGGAGCTGACTGTACATAGTAGGACTACACAGCTCTCAGTCAAGAAGGGCTTATAACTTCAAGAGTCAATTAGTTCTACGAAACTAAGTGCCTGTAACGGGGCACCCTTAGTCTGGATGCCACGAAACTCCACGTACACTTGTACGTGCAGAGGAAGCTATCTACTTGAACGACTCGATCAAGTGAGGTGAAAAGAGAACTGCATTTAATATAGTTAAGCTATCAATGTAACTTTAATCTTTACCTAACTACACTAATCTACATTGTCGTATGACGACAACCTGCTCACCACTCATTGCACGCGTCTAGCAGCGATTGGTGCTAATCTATGGTTAATACGTCTTTTTCAACCAATCTTGAAGCAGCGCATAAAAATCATCGAAAAAGGGGATAACACTCCTTAAATATTATCCATCTCGGATAATATTGGTAGGATATTGTCACGCTAGACAATTTCCCTATGGACACTATTTGGTGTCAATGTCAGGTAACGGGCCACCCCGTCACATCACCCCCCCCTACCATCAATTACCCGTTAATTGAATAGAGTTGATTGGGACAGGGTGGCCACCTTTGGATCACTCTGGGAAGAGGAGAACTTGTCGGTCAAGTTTTAACTCATTTGCCAATTCATCGCATGGTGTCAAAGTCTGTGCCATGTGCTGCCGAAACATCAAGAAAAGCGGTTGAACGCATGCGTGCAGCCGAAGAGGGTTCTTCACTTGCCTCAGCAGCAGGTGATCCTCCGCCTGATGCTGCGATTCAGCATCAGGCGGTGCCTATTGTGAGTAGTCCACGTGGTGATTCACCACGTGCGACAGGTACCCCGCTGCGTCTGCAGCGGGTGATGCAACTCGCAATGTAGATGAGCCTGAAATAGAGCTAATCTATTCTGGCGAGTAGGTTGATACATCTGGCTCGAAGGCGACACCTCACGACTCCGGACCACCCGGGGCGGACACTGCAAGAGCCGGGTTGACTGGCTATGGGGAACGTGGCGGCACCATGTCCGAGATCTTCGAACCGGGCGATTCTTCGGACGATTTCTCGTCTTACGCAAGTCCACCCGACGATAGGACGCGTGGTGATGGTGGTGATGCCCCTATGCATCACCACGAGAGAAGAAACCCGAGGGATCGAGCTGCCACTGGTTTTAGTGCTCATGCTGACACAACACAAGAGTCCGGAGACCGAAATATCCTGCGTCACGCTCCTCAAGTGGAGTCTCCTTAGATGCCGTCATCTAAAGAGTTAGATAAAGTGGCCGGCATGACCACCGAACGGGATCGAATCCAGTTGTTCGACCGTAGGAGGATCTGTCCTCCTAATTTCAGCGCGGAAACTATCCTTTCTGCAGAAGAGTTCTTTACCGATACGTTTTTCAAGCATCGGCGATGCAATGGCAACCGTGGTCGAGACGGTATGGCCTTGTTGCAAAGATGGAATGCCTTTATCAACAACATCGAATGCATTGGCCGTGAGGCCTGGCTCGATGAAGCTTGCATCAGGTTTGAGAAACGCAACCCCGTCGGGGCGCTATACAAGTTGTACCGGCTTTCAAGAGAGACAGGATTATCCTGTCACTCGTGGGGTGATTCGTGTCCAAGTTATCCGGAAAGCTCGAATCGTGCCCCTAGGGAGGCACACCTTTCTAATGTTCCCTACTGAAAGGCGCGCATCTCTTTCGAGATGTCCGAAGGGATCGACACTTTGCAATCCCTGTACTCGCGTTCGGGGGAGGTCGTTTTCCGACGGCCCTTCTTCAAACTCAGCGGGTGAATCTCGTCGTACTGCTCGACGAGACCAAGTACATCAACAATCAGATGGGCACGAGGCTCCAAGCTGTCCCACGCTGGTGTATAGCCACTCCAGCGGACGAGTTAACTCGTCCGGACGCCATTCACGTTGCGGTGGTTCAAAATACGCTCCACCAGAAATCGTTGACCACCGCCTGAGTCCACTAAAGGATGTGGTGGCGGTGGGAACACCTGATCCGACTCGAGGGTCGGATCAAGTTGACGTTCAAGAGCTGAACCGTCTAACGGAACAGTTGCAAGATGACCTGGCTCAAGAACAATCTCGGCGTTGTGGGCTTGAGGATCTTGTGAGGAATAAATACAATTCCTTAACGCAAAATCTTTCGGACGATCGTGCCGCGTTTGCGTTCGCGCAACTTGAGAAGGAACGTTCGACTCGTTTTCTTCGTGACGATCTGACTGCATCTCTTCAGGACATCGCTCATCTGCGTGAGCAGTTCGCTTCGCTAGACGACCAGAGTGGGTCGTTGAAACGTGACCACTCGAAGGTGGTCTCGGCTCTTAACCGCGGAGGTGTTCTTCGCCTTAAAAATGGGCTCGTACTGATAGTACAGGCGGAGGTGACCGACGTAAAACTTAGGATGCTTACGCATCTTACGAGGCAGTTCACTCGTCTATGCGTTGCTCATACGACGCAACACGCAAAATTGACTGATACGATTGGGCAGTAATTTACTGCTGCCCACGTTTTTCACTGCTTGTTTTGGTAGATTTACTGTAGAAAGTAAAACTAGGTCTCCTTCATCAAACTAAAGAACATTTGCTCTTCCATGATTGTCTTCATTTTTCTCTTCTGTCTGTCTAGCGCATCTGCAATCGAGTCTTGAACAAAACGGACAACCGCTTCGCGAGTCAGCAGAAATTCTTTTGCTGCCTTATCCTTGTTAACGGCAGTGCGCTTTGTGTTTACTGATGAAAGAACGTTGTCTTTACCAGTGAGGGCGTCATCGTCCTCACTTTGGCAGTCATTGAAGATGCTGAATTTACCAGCATCGTCGTCATCATCATCATTTATGTCGATGCGATCGACATCGGCATTCATCACGTCGACACCACTGTCGACGATTGATGAGCAAGAACCAGATCGGTTTTTGTTCGAGCGAATCGACCCCCCTTAAATTAGAGTCACGCTCTAGGAAGGAGGGTAAACGTGGATGGCGTAGGCCATCCAAGAAGAACGGTGTATGCGTTGTCGACGCGTGCACCGAGTTTCTGATGGCGAATTCCGCCATCGGCAAGAACTCACTTCAACTCGTAAACGAGTGGACATACCCTCGAAGTATCTCTTCGAGAACGCGGCTGACGCGTTCCATCTAACCATCTGTTTCTGAATGGTCATGCATTTACATCTTTGAACGTGTTCCAAGAGGAAGTAACACGGATTGCCAGAACTCCGCTGTGAAGCGGGGTCCCTATCGGACACGATTTCACGGGATAACACGTTCATTCGTGAGATAGTATCGATGAAGTCACGAGCACAGCCCTGGGCTGTAATTGACTCCGGTACAGCAACAAGATGTACCATCTTGCTGAATCGATCAGCAAACACAAGAATACCAGTATTTTTGTGAGCCTTTTTAGGAAACCCAAAGACGAAGTCCATCGATACGGACTGCCAGCACTCTGCCGGAATCGGTAGAGGCTGCAAGGGTGCACTGGATGAAGGACTACAGTTCACCCATCGGCAAACTTCGCAAGCACGGATGTACTTACGCACAAACTCATACTGTCGAGGCTATCTACCGTGAGGTAAGTCTATTCTGTATCGCAGTGCCTACTTGTCGGGCAATCGTGACTCTCATACATGATGCGCGATCGCAAATCGTTATGAGCGGGAACGACGAAACGAGGTGTGTCGCCGATGACCCTTTGTATAGTACAGCAGCCTATCACGAACCGAGTGCCGTTCGGTTGAAGCGCAGTATTGAGACCTTAAGCTTCTCAAAGCTTGACTGCATTAATTGGCTACATAAATCCATCAATCGCAGAAGAGACTCATCTTCTACGTATGCTTTCCGCACGTCGTCGAGCAGATTCGGCGACGGAACGCTCACTGTTAGTTTCGCTACAGTGGTATCACCCCTACTGTTGTGTTGAGCAGTCGGCTTGAAATCGTATCGACGCGAAAGAGCATCAGCAACGACATTAAGTCGTCCTGCTTTATACTCGACGGAGTAGTTGTACCCCGCGAATAAAGACAGCCACCTTGCCCATCGTCGCTAAAGGTGTGGACTGTTTACGTCCGTGCGTAACGACGCACGGTCGGTATAAACGATGAAGGGCCTATCTCCTGAGCGATATGCCCGAAACTTGGCCAGTGCATATTTCATGGCAAGGGGTTCCTAGTCATGCACCGGGTAATTACGCTCAGCTGCTTGCAGCTGACGCGATCGATAATAGATGACGCGCTTAACGCCGTCTGAGTCGTACTGCATTAACGCGCAGCCGATTGCAAAATCGCTGGCGTCACAGACCACATGAAATGGCCTGATCTGCAATCGCCAACACAGGCATTTGTACCAAGCTTTTCTTGATGCCTTCAAAAGAGTGCTGACACTAGCACCCCAAGACCACCTCTCGTTTTTCTTTAGAAGACGAGAGAGATGTACGGTCATCTCGGCATAGTTGCGAGAATTTGTGCAAGTACGCCGCTAAGCCAAGCAACTCTCAAATTCCCTTGACGTCGACCGGCCCAGACCAGTCGATTATCGCCTTGATCTTTTCCGGTTCAGGGAGTACGCCCTTTTAACTAACGATGCAGCCAAGAAGTGGTATTTCGTTCGCTGCGACTATAAACTTCTTGAGGTTCACGAACAACTTATGCTCTCGCATTATTGTAAAAAACCTCTGGACGTGGATTCTATGAACCTCCACGTCCGTCCTTCCACCCATAGCCCGGCTATGGACGAAGAAATTTTCAAAGTAACTTAGTGCGAAATCGTGCACCGATCGCAACAGATTCGTAACACATCTGATAAACGTTGCGGGGGCGTTACTTAGCCCCTGTGGCATCACTAGCCACTCCCAGAGCATACCACTGCGAAGCTCCTACTGCTGTGTACGGGATGTCCGTTCACGCATGAGGATCTGATAGAATCCATTCACCAACTCCTTAGATGAGAAGATTTCTTCTCTTTGCCATACCATCTATGATGACATCCTTTCTTGGTATTGCCGTCTGAGCCGGTACCGTTGCAGTGTTCAGTTGGTTGAACGCGTGCACTATCCGCCACCCTCCTGTTGCTTTTCGCACACAAAAGGTCGAAGAGCTGTGTGTGGATGTTGGATCCCTCACATGACCAGCCGCTAAGCGATCGGCAAAGAATTTGTCGATCGCTGTTACCTGTTCACGAGGCAGTGGCCATTGCTTCATGATACAGCATTTCGAACAAGGTTTCAGTTCGATCTCATGCCAAGTGTCTTTGTCCTTAGGCAGCTCGCATGGCACAGATTCCGGGAAAACATCCCTGAAATACACCCAATCCGCATTCAAGGATTTGTCTTTAAAGACTCCCAAGATTGAGACGTGTACGCTCATTCCGGGTCTTCTTATCGGGGACACTCTCGTCCATCGATGACCTACTGAGAAACCGTTCGTTCTTAGCAAACACTTGTGCCAACCGAATATCGGCGACGTCCTCGTCCTCTGTGACGAGTACGAAGATCTGCTCGATCTTGTCACTCCGCAGATCTCACAAGAACCTTTTAGATTCTAGCGTTGGCGACTTGGTTGCCTTCAAAGCTGACTTCGGAGGTATAACCAGATCAAGTGTTTAAGCGTCTACACTTGATTTGTCATTCACCAAGATATTCACTGACTCGGTTATTTCCTGGTAAAACACATCCGCATGTGATTGGGGATCCACACCCTTAACATAGCTCTCTCGAAGATCATCACTCTCAGGAACGCTGGAACTTTCTTCCAATACGTGTACTGACTGTGAGTGTACTACTTCAGTCACGTCCTCTTCAAACGACTCTCTTTCAGTCGATCGGGCCTGCTCTACAATCCACTCTCTGTTAGTCGATCTCGCTTCAGCATGTTGTTCATTCTGAACAACACTAATCTATCTTCTTGGATTAGCCCTTCTTGGCGTGTATCCGCCTTCCACTCCACTCGATCTCTTCGAGTGGTGAACCTTCGGCGCAGCCTGTGTCCCTATGCAGGTGCCGGAAGCTAACTCCACAGTGCAGTGGCCTTCTACACTGTGATCTTGTGCAGTCATAATAACGACCTTACCACAATTGAGTCCATAGCACTCACTCGTAGTACATCCACACGCTTGTGGACGCTCCAAGACGTTCATCAGATGGCCATCTGATGAACAAACGACAGGCATCTTCACGGATCGATGCTGCCAGCTAACCCAGGGCCGGTATTTCCTATGCCATGGAATACCGAGGACGACGTCAAATTGACATCCAAATTCAGTACGATGAAGCCATCATCTTACTACTTTCCTTAGAGCGTGTAGTGGATTCCTACTACACGTTTATTTACTGATACGGATGCGCCTGTAGCAAGGCACAACGTCATCCTGGTTGAGGGAACTCTAGCTCAACATAGTTATGTCTACTATCTTATAGCAACTGGCATCAAATAAAACTGTTCGACGCCCCACAGTCAATTAGGGCACAAAGTGACATTCCACTTGTCACTTCGGTATTCATTGTGATGAGGGACCCCTCATCATTAAAGGCAGTAACACACAGCGACTGTGTGTTGGGAGCAATTTTCGTCAAGAGTCCTGAAATTCCTTGACGTTGCTGGATCAGCAAGGTGCTCCGCCTCTACTTACCCTGGCCAATTTTTGGCGGTCCGACTTGCTGTCGCGGCTCGGCAACATGGTCGGACCCAAGCCTTACACCCTTCCTTGGCCAACGGCGGTCATCACATCCTGTCTTTGGACGTGTCGCAGTGCTCGGGACAATACACTCATGAGCGGAGTGTCCAATCTTCTGACAGCGGTGGCATGCTGCCGTTCGCTTGTGATTCAGAGAGCGAGAGTTTTCGCTCTCGATTTAACAGAGGTCCACTGGTTCGGGACCTCCCGTTTTCTGTCGTCTCGTCGGACGATAGTTTGACGAGTTATCCGGAGACTGTCTCAGACTGGAGTCTTCTTGTTTCGCATACGCTATCGCCCTTTCCAGAGTATGGAAGTTCTCTTGGAGCATGTAGGTCTTGACCGGCCTATCTACAAGACAGTATGTGAATACTTTGATGAGCGTGTGCTCATTAAAAGGGTTCTCCGTAGCGCTACTTGAAAGGTAGCGCAGGTGTTGTGCGTAAGCGTGCACGTCACGCTTACCTTGCTTAAGATTCTATAGTGCATAGCTTGCTCTGGACTCGGCTTGTGGCAGCTCAAACGTCTCTTTAAGACGAGACTTCAAGATCTCTAACAACTCAAACACGTTTGGGTCGTGAAGCTTGAGCCCTGAGGCCCGAGTCTTTGCTCGTCCCGTCAAATTTGACAGGGCGAAGGTGAATTGCATCTCGTCACCCTCGATGTGACGGGCCCTGATGGCGTCGTCTAAATCGACGAACCATCTCAAAGGGAATCTTCTTCGGTTCCCTTGTACCTTGAGATATCAATCTTTAAGGTTTCGGGTCGACGCATGTGCGTCGGCCCGTTCATCGACTGATCAGATCCTTGCTGATGTAGCAAGGCTACCTTCTGTCTTTCGATGGCAAGCTCCCCTTATTGGAAGTTGTTGATAGCAGCATGTTGCTGGTCTCTGTTTAGAGACTCCAACATGCCACTGATGGCGGATTCGCCCTTGAGCACACTCGTGCGGCCGACTACCTCCCATTTTGAGTCACTCAAATGGGAGTAGCCTTCACGTGTGATGTGAAAGCTGTCGTCTTCTACGTCCAACATGTTCATGTTGGACGGACACTAAGCAGTCGTTGGACGGACTACAAAGCGCTACCAGGTGTAACGGGCACCCTTTGTTTGGAGTGCCGCGAAACTTCACGTACACTAGTACGTGCAGAGGAAGCTAATCTACTCAACGACTAAGCTGAGTACAGGGTATAAAGAGAACTGTATCTAATATGCTTAAGCTATCAATATAACTTCATTCTTTATCAAACTACGTTAATCTACATTGTCGTATGACGACAACCTACTCACCACCTGTAACGGGGCACCCTGAAGCTTGTACTGGTGACAGTACAAGCTACTTATTCTGATGACAGAATAAGGCGGTGCCTCGGAACTTCACGTACACTCGTACGTGCAGAGGAAGACGGTAAGAAGAAGCGAGTACTTGATTGAAGTAAAAAGTAGAACTGCATTTAGCATAGTTAATGCCTGCGATAAATCACTATTTATCTTCATCTAACTACGTCTGAATACAAATGTGCATATCAACTATCTGCTCACCACTCATAGCGTGCGTCTGTCGTGGCGCGTCTTCGTTGGTTGATATAATGGCCTATATCAACCAATTAGGAACTACTCGTAAGTGCTGTCCTTATGACAATATTCTGAGAATACAACTCTTATAGTTATATTCTATTAACAATTTCTTATAAATTGTTATGTAACGATTCACCCCGTTACACCACCCGTTCCGCGCGTCTAGCAGCGATTGGTGGTAATCTATGCTTGATTTGTCTTTATCAACCAATCTTGGAGCAGCGCATGAAAATTATCCTACAAGGGGATAATATTCCTTTAGTATCATTCAACTCGGATAGTAATGGTAGGACATTGTCACGCTAGACGATTTCATATTGACACCGTTCGGTGTCAATATCATGTAACGGGCTACCCCGTTACATTTCAGGTATCTAAAGGAGACGTCCATACTGCGGTTCTGAATGCTGAATTATCCTTTAAGCAGTACCTTAATGGACTCGAAGGGGTCCCTTTGAGCAGGACGTGTATGTTTACGTGGTAAACAAGGCACTACATGGCTAAAAAAGCAGTCAGGACGGGAATGCAATTCTGAATTTTGATATATGGTTGTAAAATCATGGATCTGAACACAATAGCACAGAGCCTTGTGTTATTCACGTACAACCAAAATGATGATCTTGCACTTGCGTTGGTCTACGTTGATGACATTCTTTGTGCGACACAAGATGAGGCACTTAAGAATGAGCTGTTCACGCGACAGGATCGTAGCTACGGCCTAAAGGACCAATGGTTGCTGAACAGGTAGTTGGATGTTGAAGTCGAGCGAAACGATACTTCGATGAGGATTCATCAAACGCAATTCTGCAATTTAATTATGACGAAATTAAATTTTGCAGAAGCTCATAAGATCAGGATTCCTACGGAAACAAACAATCGATCACATCCCAACTTTGCCTGCTGATGAAGACGACCATTGCAAGCAAAAGCCAATTTTTGAGAGGGATTTTCCCTACCGGGAATTATTAACTCCTTGATGTATACCATTACTTGCAGCAGACCAGATACTGCCCACGTTGTTGGCCAACTACGTCGCTATGTACAAGCTCCTACTCAGCATTACATTGGGGTAGCGATACGATTACTGCGCTATCTCGCTGGCAACAAATTTCAGGGCACCGTTTACTCTACCAGCAAGAAGGAAGAAGACAAGAAGACATTGCATTTTGATGGTTACTGTGACTCGGATTGGGATAACAGTCCTAATTCATGAAAGAGTGTTACCATTACTACGTCATGAATCCCGCAGGAGGTGCAGTTTCCTGGACGTCACGGCGACAAATACTTATTGCACAGTCCAATGCCGAAACTGAGTATGTTTTGGCTTGTGAAGCCTGCACGAAAGGTTAAAGTTTGAAGAACATGCTAAGTGAAGTGTTTTTTTGAATTGCGAGTACGTTTATGCTTGAAGTTGACAATCAAGCAGCCTTTGTAATGCAAATAATCTTACTTTTAGTCGGCGTACTCGACAAATCGAGCTCTGTTGGCACTATATGGGTAACCAAGTTGCTAAGAAGACCGTGGATCTTTGGAATGTACTCAGAGGACAATCCGTCGGATGTGTGTACGAAGCTACTCGCGAGATCGCGTCTTGAAAAGCTTTGTGTGCCAAAATGGCAGACCACGGATCCTTTACTAAAGGCGTGACTTCCGAGGGGGCGTATTGGAAACAGCGCCTTTCTTCATTTGACGTTGGCGATGTAATTAAAGATGAAGTGGACATTGATGATGAAGAAAATGCTTCAATCCGCAGACCTAGCTCTGCATCCCAGTGCAACGTCCCAACTAGGTAGCCAACGCTTTCATGTGTATGGGCGAGCAAATCACATGTCGATCTAAGGCTTACCTATTGTTTAATTTGTTGACGTCTTTTCTTTTGACGTCGTTTCCATTGCTCACTACGTTACTTACTGATATTACATTAACTATTAATGTACACATATTGAAGCTATACATGAAAGCGGCGTCCAGTGCTTTCGGCAAAGGTAGTGCGAAGTCCGTTCTCAATCGTGCATGTCGACAAGAAAATGGTATAGCTTTTTTTTACTGCTCGTAATTCGGTAGAAAGAAGGTTTTCTTTCACTTTGTGAACGGACCTAACAATGAGGACATGATCTACTTCATCGGAGCAGGCCTCTTCATCTTAGTGGGTAGCACATGCGCTGCAGTGCCCTATTCCACATGTTGACAAGAGATGTTGATCCTTTACATTTACTTGTTATTTGACTTATGCGAGCACATTGCGCGTGATCATTTTTATCCCACGCCCAATCAGACACTTCTTTTTTTGGTATGAGCAACGGACCGGACAAGAGCGCATTGCAGCTACGTTTCTGCAGCGACGACTGTAAGATGTAGGTGAGCCTCAAGATATTTTTATCCACAACAAATCGAAGTGCTTTCTTTAAGCTCAAGTTCTGTTTACATTCAACGAAACAAAGCGGTTCGACTGCTTTGACAAAGAATGCGTCGTTGACCACTGATGATAGATTACACCTTTCTACGATACACGTGATCTTGTGTTCCGGCCATTCTTGTCTCTCGTCTATTCTTGGCAGCACATCACAATGCTGGCACACATATAGTGCGTGACACAGCGCTCTTGATGACATAATTCGCAAAAGGCGGTGTTCAAATGAACGACAAATATCTGCGTGAACGCGCCCGATCTATGACCCCTGGTATCCCCAAAAACAAGATAATGACGCAGTCCCGAATCGTCTGAGGTCAATTATGCAAATCATCAGCCAACCGTACTGCTACATTCTGCGAAGACTCAAACCCGTATGTTTCGTGACCTATCCTGTTTGTGTTCGCTGCAAGAACACTACCACGTTCATAAAAATCTTCCTTGGCAAATTATCGTGATTTATGGATTTAGCGGAAATTTGGCAATGCGATTCTTGGCAGCAGTGCAGGCGAGATCGGTTGACGTGCATCCGGTCACACTGCAGCAAGTAATCGGTGGATCGAAGTGTATGCTGTCCTCAACGACTAAATCGAGGGAGTCCAAAAAATACTGATCGTTTCGCCGAACTTGCTGTAGTATTCGACATCGCTGTATGAGCATAACCCTCACATACCTTCTGACTCATGATGAGTGCTCAAGAATATGAGAACGTATAGATTTGTCAAAGGTGACTCATGCAGCGGCAATTTTCATATCCGACCGTTTGGTCACTATCGACACAATGCGTGTTCGCATCACCGAGATGACTCGCCTGCGATTTGTTGAGAGTGTCCGATCAGCAAACGCCATTTTCCAACACATCCATGTGAAACAGTCTTGATGCGTATGCTTTAAAACTTGGTCGTATTGACCATATTTAGAATGCGCCTCTTCATTCTTTTGGCCACAAGAACACTAGACACTTGATGTTACGAATAGTTGTCACACAGTCGATCTCTTACTGCAAGAAGGCTTGCTTGTCCAAGTCTTTATCCCTTGCAGACCTGACTATAACGAGATAGAACAAGGAGTGCGGAAACTTAAAGACGTAATAAACTAGGACTTGATGCGCGCAATGCTCAAACTTGGTGCTGAAGTGGAGGACGCCTTAAGGCACTAGACTATTGCGCTATCGTCAACTAACTGTTTGACGGTCTGCACCCAACGACATGTACTTTGTCTGGTATTAAGACTGGTTAGAATCCTTCTCATCAACACTGATTGATCGATTTGAGCTCGTAAATCCTTACGTATCTCTAGACGACTACGATTTTGCTAAACCATTCGCGTGTTACCATAGACTACTAGGCTAGGATGAGAACGGGGGTGAGTTCAGCTAGTGCCGCCGACAGTCTTTTACTACCTATCGGTCAAGATACAGCATGGTGTCAGCGGTCTTGCTGGGCAACGCCGCCAGATGCATGGCAGATGTTCGCTTCCCTTAGGGACGTATCAAGACAACGCGAATGCTCGATCCTTCTTAAAATATATAAGACCGACAGAGAATGCAAAGCCCTACGATCTGTAAGTATTTTAGTCGCAAGAAACTAGTCAACACACAAGCAGAGCATGAGGTCCGTTTACAGTCGGCACTTGACAATCAATGATGGGACACAAGTCGAACCGTTACGCTCGTATCGCAGTGATGTATTTCTCGCCTGTCGGCATGACGTGGTGTCTCACTAATCTACAATCTTCATTTAAAGGTGAGAGGGACGTAAATACAAACTTCATGCGAAGCGGATCACGTAAAACAGTGTAATTTCAATATCCGGAAGTGTTGATGCATGAGACCAAAGATCACCTACTGTCTCGTACATGTCGTACTGACCGCCGGTCATCTGATCCATCGCATCAACGTAGACTACAATCACGCGTTAACATCAGTTGATACGTTTCGCCCATACTGTACACTTTCCCCATTGAATTGAACATCGTGTCCCAGTAAATGTGCATCTTTGGTGTCTTGCAGGAATACTGCAGGATAAGCGGACATTCAGGTTACCTTGTCTCCGTAACAAACAGCGACCCCCCCCGCTGCTGGAACGCGACTGATATAAATAACTTACGAAACTGGTTTTGCCGGGTACCATGTACCGCGAGCGGACGCGTCCCCTTTTGCATTGTCCGATTGGCTCGACCATGTCGTCGTCGTCCGCTCCTGAGCGTACCATCTTCGTGTCGTCCCGCAAGAGCCCGTTGGCTATGGCACAGACCACTACCGTCATCTCCATGCTTGAGAGTCGCTTTCCAGCTCTTCGCTTCGTCGTGGGACAAGAGGACACTGTGGGCGACCAAGTTCTGGATCGCCACTTGAGTGACTTGGGTACATCCACTGCTTCTGGCCTCTTTACCAAGAGTCTAGAGGAAGCGCTTCTTGCAAAGACCGCCCACTTTGCTGTACACTCGCTCAAGGACATGCCGACGACGCTACCAGATGGTCTCGTGCTAGCTGCCATCACTAAGCGAGAGAGTCCAGAGGACGCAGCGATCGTTCATCCCAAGCACAAGGCCAAGGGTCTCACGAAGCTCCAGCAGCTACCAGAGAAGAGTATCATTGGCACGAGCTCGCTGAGACGTGAAGCGCTGATAAGGAGCCATTTTCCGAGCTTTGAGGTCAAGACGCTGCGCGGCAATATCCAGACGAGATTGGCCAAGCTGGATGAAGCTGACGAGTACGACGCAATTATTGTGGCGGCCTGCGGGTTCCGGCGTGGCGGATTGGGCGACCGCATTGACGAGATTCTGCCGATCGACTCGTTCGGATACGGCGTTGGTCAAGGAAGTATTGGCGTGGAGTGTCGGGCGGATGATGAGCAGGTTGTGTGGAAGTGGAGTAGTTCATGTTGGTGGTCGAGCGTGTTTTGATGTTTGTCTGGTATACGTATCAGACAATTGCGATGCTCAAGACGATAACGGATGAAAAGTCGGCGCACTTGTGTAAGGCAGAGCGCAGTTTGCTGTACCATCTCGAAGGCGGATGTCAGGTGAGGTGCTTAGTTTGTCCGTGATAAGGAGAGACTAGTGTGTCTGTGCGTGTCAGCAAGTCTTAACGTACCCACTGAGTAGATTGCTATGGGAGTGAGTGCAGCACTGGATGGGGATACACTGACGTTGAACGCAACTGTTTTGTCCCGTGACGGCAAGAACAGCGTTCATGGTGCGTTCGTGGTTTGGACATCATTTGACTGAGGTATGTGATACTCGTACTCACTTGTGACTGTTCTATTGCTACTACTTGCAGAAAGTATCTCTGGATCCTGTACAGAAGATGAAGAGCTCGGTAAGAAACTGGCTGGACGCTTCTGGAACAACGAGCTGGCCCGACAGGTGCTTGGAAAGACCCACGAAAAACGTGCACTCACGTATGGCGACGCCGAAGCTCCTGGTGATGCTGCTGCTGCTGCTACTGCAGCAGCATCAATGTCAGAGAGGATTGAGAGCTCCAAGTAGGTAGAGAGGATAACGTCACCAACAGCAGTATAGAGAGAGACTTCTGCCCATGATCGACGTCATTGTGTATCCATATTCTATGATAGTGAATGTACCCATATGCAAATAGACTAATGCAGAAAAGGTACAGTGAGACTGGTCCGTCTAAGTACGAAATGCTAGGTTCCAGTCATTTTCCAAGTCGGTCGTGACCACCTTCACCTCAACTGTCCACCCGGGTTTGTCCACCTAATTGCACGTCACGCATTGATTCCAGCTCGTCTTGCCGTCGTTAGCACTTCAGTACCAAGCTTGGCCTCTCCTCTATCTGAGACTGCACGTTACACGCTCTAACACTCATCGATCGCTTCAGAATCTGCAAACCAAACAAGCGCCGGAACGATGACCAGTAACACGTTAACGCGTACTCAGAATAGCCGCGTGCTGCAGGCTTTTCGCGCCATTGGCATCGTGGTAGCTGATGTACCACTTGTGTGGTATGGCATGGGTAAAGCGAGCTTTGCAACGGCGTCGCTGGGCAAGTCTTTTATCGTGTACAAGTGCGACAAATTAACGCCTGTGCTCGTGTCGCCTCAGCTGCCCAAGCGCATTGCGGCCTTGGCCGTACAGCCTCAGAGACAATTGACGTTCACGGCCTGTGGCCGTCAAATTATTGTGTGGAAACGAGTGGAGCGGGTCAAGACATTGCTGGGTCACAAAGGAGCTATTCAGCAGCTGATGACTGTGGGCACGGTCCTCTTTTCACTGGATGACGCGCGTAGCATCATCATGTGGGACTTGGACACGTTGAAGATTATTGACACGTTGAGTTTTCCAGTCCAGTTTGAGCCTACGAGAATGCTGCACCCAGACACGTACTTGAACAAGATCTTGATCGGGTCCAAACAAGGTCCGTTGCAGCTCTGGAACGTCCGGAAGAAAACCTGTGTGTTTGAGTTTACAGGATGGGGCAGTGCTGTGACGGCGCTCGAACAGAGTCCTGCGGTGGACGTTGTGAGTATCGGTCTGGCAGATGGACGACTGATGGTGCACCACTTGCAGCTCGATCAGCGCGTGCTGGACTTTCGACAGGATCAGCAGAGTGAAATTACGGCCGTTTCGTTCAGGACGGATGCAGGTGCTTCAACGACGCCGTTGGTCGTCTCGGGATCGCGATCGGGTGATATTGCAGTGTGGAATCTGCAAACGAAACGTCTGGAGTCGGTGATTGCGAACGCGCACGATGGCGCTGTGATGTCGCTGCACTTCTTGGCCAATGAGCCGTTGTTGCTGTCTGCGGGGACAGATAACTCGATCAAGTTGTGGATCTTTGACCATCTGAATGGAGGAACAGCTCGCCTGCTTAAGTCGCGTGAGGGTCACCGTGCACCACCGACGCGCATTCGGTACTACGGTAACAACACGCTTGCTACAATGTCGGACGGTGCTGACGGCACCTGCTGTCAGATCTTATCAGCCGGTCAGGACCGCGCTTTCCGTGTCTTCCACACGGCTCGTGAGCAGCAGAGCAGGGAGCTCTCGCAAGGACCCGTTCTCAAGAAGGCGCGCAGTTTAAGCGTTCGCGTGGAGGACTTGAAGCTTCCGCCGATTGTGCAGTTTGCTGCTATGGAGACACGTGCTCGCGATTGGGCGAACGTAATCACGTGCCATGAGAACGAGATTGCTGCCTACGTGTGGCGTTTCGAGCACCGTGCTATCGGCAAGAAGGTGCTTCGACAGTATGATCCGAGCCACCGCGTTCCTTCTGGCAGCGTAGAGGATCTACGCCGCAAAAAGACGCAAGCTACTAGCGTGACTATCAGCTCATGTGGCAATTACGCACTCGTTGGCAGCTTGGGTGGGGCTATCTTCCAATACAATATGCAGTCAGGAGAAGCTCGTGGTTCGTTTCCGGTGGCGGTGACTCCGAAGCCAAAGATTATTAGCTCGCTCGTGCTACCTGGAACAGATTTGTCGGTACTGCAAGACGACGAATACGACAAGACTGCTGGGGATGCTCATGACGGACCTGTGAGCGCCGTTGCTGTTGATGCGCTTAATGAGACCTTGGTCTCTGCAGGAATTGACGGTAAGCTGAAATTTTGGGACTTCAGAAAGCACGACCTGTGCCACACGATTAATGTGGACTCGCCCATCAGCCAGATGGAGTTGCACCGCGATAGCAACTTGCTGTGCGTGGCGTGCGATGACCAAATACTTCGTTTGTTTGATGTGACAACCCGCAAGCTCGTACGTCGTTTTGCAGGACACTCGCACCGTGTGACGGACATGACCTTCAGCTCGGATGCGCGGTGGCTGTTCTCGTCATCAGCTGACGCATCGTTGCGCGTGTGGGATATCCCGACGGGCAAGTGCGTTGACTGGTTGCGGTTTCAGAAACCTGTGACTAGTTTGGCTGTGTCGCCTACCGGCGAGTTCCTTGCTACGACGCACGTGGGCCACGTTGGCATTTTCTTGTGGGCAAATCGCAGCTTTTTCACGGAAATCTATCTTGATTCGGAGCCGACCCAGCCTGTGCTGATGGATATGCCTGTAGCCCTGAATGAGGTGGACAACAGCGACCATCTTGACTTTGGCACTGAACGTAATCCTCAGGTATCAGCGGCAAGTGCTGACGAGCTACGGCCTGAAAGTGTCGTGGATGTAAAAGGTGAAGCGAGCTCGGGACCGCTTGATGATTCTCTGATCACACTCTCAACGGCCCCACGTGCATTTTGGCAATCTCTGTTCAACCTGGAGCTTATCAAGAAGCGTAATAAGCCTATTGAACCTCCCAAGGCACCGGAACATGCTCCTTTTTTCCTCCAAACTGCTCGTAAGGACGATGTGCACCCTACGTTTGTACCTGTTGCACCTGAAAAGGAGAAGGGTCCTGAGAAGGAGGGGGGTGAAGACGTGATGCTGGAAAACTGGGGTGCTCAGGATGGCGATGCAGCATGGGGTGATGATGACGGCGAGGACATGGAAGAGGACGCTGAAGTCACTGCCTCAAGCTCGCGGATCGTCAAAACGGCAGGCATGGTTACTTCTCGCTGCAAATTGGCGACGTTGTTGGCAAAATCGATGCAGAACGAAGAATGTAGCGACCACTCGGCCTCGCGCTTTGCTGACGTGGCGGCATATATGCAGTCGCTTTCTGCGTCCTCAGTGGACGTCGAAATGAGCACGCTGTGTATGGGCGACTTTGATGAGGAGGGCAAGAAGCTGTTGGCTTATTTTCTGAACTTCCTGCACGAGGAGATGCGTACGCGTTGTAACTTTCAAGTGCTTCAAGCCTACCTGAATCGATTCTTGAAACTGCACGAGGAACTATTGGTGGCGGACCCGGTGCTGTTGGCCCAGGCAGATAAACTGGGAGCTGTGCAGCAGCAACAGTGGCAGCACCTGCAGAAGCTATTGCACAACAATTTGTGTCTGGTGCAATACCTCAGCAAGATCCAGATGTAAGTTAACGAGCGTGGTTCGAGTCGCACATTGTGGTTACTCGTTGGGTACCGATCCCATTAGAATAGTGCGGTAGAACACGCAATGCACATTGAATAGACGGAATGAGGTTGCGCCGAAAATAGTGGAGTCGAAAAGCGACGGTTGTCGGTATCGAGCATCACAATAATTGTTGTGCTTTGTGACGTAGCCACTATCAAACTCCGCTCGATCTTACGACTCACAACGTTTATGAAAACAATTGGTGAGACCCTTTACTGAAGGTATCGCGGTCAATTCGATACTGTTTTTTCGGCAATGCTTGTTACAGTGTCATCGCTACACTATCAGGCGGATGGAACGTGTTGGGCGTCTGTAGTATCGAAATAATGTTCTTGAACTCAGCACTCATAGTGCAATGGCCGGTATGATGATGGCGCCCATTTAAGCGACAGTCAATACCTATAAAACAGCGATTGTGGATCGGAACACTCAAGATCGCTCAATAGATTCTTCAGAGATCGATGACTGTAGATCCCTTGCCAGTGCTACAAACACCTTCGCTATCTAAAGAAGCCATTGAGTAAGCTTAACCATCAAGGCGTCAAAATGTCTACAATATATAACTAGCATCGCCGGCAAGTTGTAGAGGCACCACCTGCCTGATACTTTTTTGCACACCTAGCACACAAAACAATGCAACCTACTGTGTATTGTAGCAGCACATGAAACACTGATAAATTTGGGGGATCGAGCACATCTGACGACAAGCACTGAATTGCGGTCGAATAGTTCTGGACGACTCATTGAGTCGTTCTTTTAGTATCACGCACCTGATGCTTATGCATGTCTCTTTCTTCTGACTAGCGTAGGGTAATCACGCACCATTGACATTTTAGTTCATTTCTGTACTCTGGTTCTTAATGTCGCATCTTGCCTCGCTTTGCAGTGTCGATATCTTCCAAGGTGATGGACATATCACTTTGATACTTCGTTGCAACGCAACCATCTCAGCCGATAGATTCATAAAACAACCTTAAAAGTTTGCATTGTCAATCAATGGGGGACATCCAGGAGTTTTTCGCCGTCGTAGCAGTCGCCATGATGAAGCTGACTGGAGCCACTCTCATCGAGACCTTGAAAGCTTGAACAACCGTAAAGTATGCACTGGAATGTCTTACTGTTAGCATCTGCAAGTCCACTACTGGTCGGTCTTCTTGAAATGCAAAGCAGAACGATCTGGTCGGGCCAATAAGAGACACATGCGTGGTGAATGAACAGTTGGAGCATCATCTGACAGTTTTGACCAAGTAGCTGGTGTTTGACATTTACGAGAATTAATGGACCAGTTCGTGCGGGCCAACTGAATAACACTTGAAGGAGATAGGATCCATGATCCATCGTGAGAGTCGATGGCGTCCCGTGTCAAACAAACCGACAGTAGCCGGAGGATCACCGGAGAACAGAGACCTAGAACTACGGCACCGATTACTGTCTGGTCCTCGTCTACAAACGGTAATACGCCGCGTAGTTACGAAGCCGATGCATGTATCCATGTATTTGCAGCGTATGACTCAGTCAGACAGCAGAACACTCTGGTTTTGTCACCACCAGCTCCTGTGCAGCTCAAAGGAGTTTTACAAATTTTGCCATTTACATTAAACCCATTCAGTCGAATTGACTGTAGCATTTGCAATGGACTTCTCGCACATTCCCTTTCGGCACCTATTGCAGTAAGCTCGTGACTATCGTTTGTATGAAATAGGCTTGACGTTTTAAAGACACAAGGGAGAGAGCGATAGAGCAGTCGAGTGAAGAAAATAGAGCTGAAATAAAGGTCCGAGAGAGAGCGATAGAGCAGTCGAGTGGAGAAAATAGAGCTGACATAAAGGTACGAGAGAGACCGATAGAGCAGTCGAGTGGAGAAAATAGAGCTAAAAAAAGGTTGAACGCTATCGAGCGCCTTTCATTAACAAAATCAAAGCACAAGAGCTTTTGATCATTCTCTCTATGAGCACAAAGCAATGATCATACCTGTCGGTTCATCTGAAGCCCCTCGAAACCGAATAATATCACATATCCAGGGCTCACGACGAGATCAATCGCGGCGGAACATTCCGTTTGCGGTCGTAAAGTCCCGCGCCCGCCTCTTCTTCCTCTTCTACCATGGCACGAAATCACCCATCTACTACAGAAGCTACATCCATAACAGCGTCAGACAACGAGGAAGAGAACGAGGTGCTTCTCGAGTCGCCACTCCCTCTACAAGTCGAGTTATCGCTGACTTCCCACACTGCGTCGCCTTCCACGCCAATTTCTTTCACTTCAAGCGGCCGTCCCAAAGCGGTATCAGCTGCTGCAGCTCCTTCGATACCTCCAATCAATAGCCAAGACACAGACGAATCGAATGCGACTACGCGGGACTTCTGGAACGCTCAAAGACGTACCCAGTCAGACGGAAACATGCGAGACTATGGACTGTCAATGAGACCCTCTCTTCAACTGGATTCTGCTGCTGCTTTACCAGCACTTTTAGCCGGTCCAGCTCACTCAGAGTCTTCTCTACAGATCCACAATGAGAAAACAGACGTGGCGCTTCCGCCGCCCATTTCAGTTAGAGCACCTGGTGCTCTAAAACCTCACGGGTTGATAGCAATGGGGGAAGGCTTTCTCGCTGGCATGGCTGACTTTGCAGGCCTCAAGTCGCCTCGTGACAAGGCCCTACACAAAGTCGTTGTGGTGTATCGCACACCAGGCCCGCTGTATGTGGATTTGCTCTCTCGAGACGACGGGACAGGAGCTCTTGTAAAGGCGTTTCGGAGGAAAGCGGATAGATCAATGGCAGACGCAGAAGCTTCAGGTCGTGTGTTTCCGGGTGACGAACTGGTGACCATTAATAGCGTGGACGTGACCAAGATGGTGTTTAGCGAAATCATTTCGGCTGTGCAGGAGGCCACGTTTCCTGTAAAGTTGACATTTCACTGTCACCGAACACAGAACGAGGAGCTTGAAAAGAAGCAGACCATTTTGCCACCCAGTTCACCTTCCGGTAGTCCAGGGTGGGGTGCCCGACTGAGCCAATTGACAAAGTCAGGGTCATTTGAGCAGAAGAACAGTGGATCGGATCTGAATCGTGCCATTCCACGGTCACCGTTGCCGTACTCAGTGAATTCTGAATTGAGTGGAGGGAAGTTTGGAATCTCGCTTGGGAAGGCAGGAACTGACGGTGTGAAACAGAGTTTTTTGCGAATTATAAGCAACAAGCCGTCTAGGCCGGAGGAGGACAAAAATGTGGTGAAAGCCTGGATGGATGATCTTGCACTGAAACCACACAACAGCTCGGCAGGAGGACGTCGTCGCAAAGCATCAGCAAAGATGAATGTTGATGTGCCGCACTCGACGCCAATTGTAGCTGTAACAACTGGGGGCCGATTTGTTGGTGTACTGGATGAGGATCTGAACGAATTCGCACTCACGTGGTTTCGGAAGACGCCACCCGAGACGGATGTAAGGCCGATCAGGGGCGTCAAGCGATGTCCCTACTTTCCTTCCGTAGACGATGTGGGTGCAATTTTGTTATTGCGCTGCGCGTCACTCCGCTTTGTACAGCTCCAGCGCGTAGTGGAGATGCCTCGACCGTTAGTGCTGGATGAAGACGTGAGAAAAACAGTGGACGTGTTTTTAGAAGCTGGTGCGGGTTCGTTTTCCGCTACTTTGGCAAGCAATGAGAACGAGAGCTTCCGGATTAAAATAACGGCTGAATCGGTGGCTCTTGTGAAACGATCAGAAGACGATGGAGGTATCGTCGTAGAGGCTGTCTACGGTCCATACCTTCAGGTTCTTCTTGATCCTACCAATCAGCTGCGGTTCACTATCAAGGTCCAGGAGTTTGGTGGCTTCTTGGGTGCCCGTGAAGGAGATATTTGTGATGTACGAAATCGGCGAGAGCAGCTTGGAACTTTGTCTTGTTTCGTCTTAGTTGCTCAGAACCGGCAAAATCGCGATATTCTGACGCTGCTGATACGTACGTTTCGAGCTCGTGTGATTTCACTAGAGCAAGAAGAGTTAGCTCGAGCAGATGAAAAAAATCTGTTTATGGACCCTGCATTTGATGTCACCCCACCACCGACGTCGCCATTTGCGTCTCAAAATGTTGTGTTACGTTTGGGTGCAGTATCTCCCGCAAGTGATACCGCTACGACAAGAGATTCTACAAGCAGTGCGGGGTCGCCGCCGTCGGCAACAACGCTATTATCGGAGACGACTTCTTCGCCTGTAGCGAAAAGTCTCCGTCCGGTGCAATTACAACGCGAGGGGTCGCTAAGCTCCATGTCTAGTACGCGACTCAGTGATCTAGTTGGTTTGGAACGCGGGGATTCTGGCGAGCTGACAGGAAAGCGAACATCGGACTTCACTTTATCGACACCAAGACCACCTCGCGCGTCCGTTGCGGCAAGCAAAAATGGGCTTGGAATGAGCAGCAACGATGTTGGCGTCGATAATTCATTTTTGGAGGGTCGTCTTGCCGCTCAAGCAAAGGAGATATCTACGCTTCGAGAGAAGCTTGTGTCGGTTTCGGTTCTTCACAACGTGGCGATGCAGGAGAACAAGCAGGTTGCTGCAGCCATCGAGATGAAGAACAACCGCATCGAGTTGCAACAAACGAAGATTCGGCAACTTGAGAAACTCGCAAGACAACACGATGCACAAGCACGCGAGATGCAAATATTGCGTTCGAAACTCGAGGCTGAAGAGAGGCAGCTTGCATCTTGCAGAGACGAGCTGGAGCAACTGGCCGGAGTGGCAGCAAAGTGCTCGTTGAGGACGCTTGATCAGGATACTCAAACTGAGGCCCAGTTTATCACTGGAAAAGGGCTGGTAGATACCGGTGTGTGGTCTGTACCGAGCTGGAATCGCGATGCCTTGTCTGGGACTGTCGCAACGGTAAGTACTACCGATCTTCAGCAACACGTTGAGGACCAACAGGCGCAAATTGCTCAGTTGGAGGACCGGTACGTTAATGCGGTGGCCGAACGGAACATGCTTCGTGCAAAATCGACAGAGCTGTCGAGGGAGGTCCGCAAACTTGTTGAGGCCAATGACAACCGACCACTAGATGATCTTGTGGCAAAATTGGCGGAGCAAAGCCGCCTGCAGGTTGAGCTTGCCTCAATCAAGGCTGAGGCTGCAGAAACAGCTCAAGAGTTAGCAGAGCTCAAACGTCAATTTGACAGCGCTGGTGACAAGGTCAAAGGCGGCAAACGTCTCGTAGCTCGGAACAAGGTGCTGCTGCGTACAGTGCAGCAGCTGAAAGAATCTTTGAGCGAAGCCATGGACCAAGTCGATGCAGTCAAGAAAGTCAACAGCACGCTCGCATCCCGTCTTCATCGTCTACAGCCGGACGCTCGTGGTGGCATTGTCGATTGTGCTCCTACCTCTCCATCGACTAGTTTTCCAGCTGTCTCGTCCGATGATGAAGATGGCGACGACGATGAGGAAGACGAGGATGAAGAGCTTCAGGATGGCATTGCCGCGTTTCGACGATCACTGACAAGGAGGTGAAGGGTTCTTGACCTCTCAGCTCAAAGTCTCCATCACCAGAAAGTAGCACTTCACTCGGTATCTCCGATATGGCTCACACACTACTTTTTGTAGCTGTTGCTCAACGCTGGATCGTGTGCAAACACTGGACAGTTGGAGCAGCAAGCTAGTTCGTCCGTACCATCACCAAGGGGTGTACCACGCTGGATGTGCCGCTTCACTCTTGTGGATGACAGGCGTCGCACTCTCCGTTGGTGCGCATGGCATAGTTTCAGCTCCTGTTGCCTCGTGACGAGTGATGGCTCTATGACAAGCACCAGTGAGAGCAAGTCAATCGTGTATTTCGATGCCATCGGCAATACGGAGGCTGACCGCATTGGTATTTGCCAGGTGCAGTGGATGTTTGTGAGCTGCTGGTGGCACTAACAGTCGAACCGTGGGCTCGCTACCTGATTATCTATTCCGCTCACGTGATGTGACTACTGGATACAGAGGCCTCTTTTTTTTCAGCTATGCTGCTGGTTTATTCTCGCTTCGGATGCTAATAAATGGAAACGCTCAGTTTGAAAGGCTATTGCAAACCGTTCAAGCTCACACCGTTGTCGGCGCGTACGTATCCGACACTGAACATGCAAAATGAGTTGTACCGATATTACTAATGTTCCGGTGGTACGCCTTTTTTCCTACGACGCGGTTCGGCCGTTTTAACAGATCCCCACTATTGCGTCCCTCACGACTTCGCGAATCAAAGCTGAAGCGTTATAGGCAATCGTGAGCTTGACGATACTGCGACAACCTGACGCAATTAGAAAACGATGCAGGCTCATTTCTAAATGGATACCCAAAAAAATAGCCGCTGCAACGTATGATCAAAATCGACACACTGTCACGAAGTACAGCTTACAAATAGTAAATTTTGGTCATGCATTAAAGCTGCACTCAAATTGTAAATTGAGGCATTAAGCAAAGACCTTGCAACATGGTAATTATCAGTGAGTCCGAACGTGAGGATTTCTACGATGTCTTGGGTAGCGGCGGCATCTTTCGCAAGATGTTAACCGTGAATGCTGACGGTATTCAAGCAGGTACAAACCCGTTTTGGTTCGGACTAGATCTGTGATCCGTTTCTATTGTACCCCCTAAGAAGAATACTCGCCACGTGGAGCTCGTTGATTTCTTATGATGTCGTTGTATTTTTGTTTTCGACCAGAATTTGGCGAAGAAGTGGGTATCAAATACTCAACGTGGGTACTCAAATCGAACCAAAAGGTCGCGCTAAATGAGGTTCGAAAATTTCGGATCGGAGATGGCGAGGTGATGCCCGGTACGCACGTCATTTCTGCCAAAACAAATTCTTTGATGGGCGTTTCTCCAGTTACTAACTTGGTTGTATACTGCTTTTTACTTGACATAGCACTGGAGCTGGTGGCCAAGATGATGCACGTAGGAGAAGTGTGTGAGGTGCGTTGCGACGCCAGATTTGCCTATGGAGACGTGGGGCTGGACCCGCATGTGGCTCCTGGCGCGGAGATGAAGTTTGTAGTAGAGCTCTGTCGCGTTGGTAAAAAGATCACGGCTGAGATGGGTTCGCAGGAGCTGATTGTTGAAGCGACGCAGAAGAAAGAGAGTGGAAACCGCTACTTTAAGGAGAAAAACTACGAGCAGGCAGCTAAGATGTATAAGCGAGCACTGGAGCTGCTCGAGTCGTGGGAACACTCGGAGGAGGATGCAGCGCAGTGCAAAGAATTACTGGTGGCGCTAGGAAACAATGTGGGCAACGTGCAACACAAGTTGAAGCAGTGCAAGGAAGCGCGACAGTCGAGCTTGGAAGTGCTGCAGCTAGATGGAAAGAACGTAAAGGCCATGTACCGTATTAGTCAAATCGCGCTGGACCAGAACGAGTTTGAGGAAGCATACCTGTTCTTGCGCAAGGCAGTGGAGATCGAACCAAGGAATGGTAAAGTGCGTCAGCTACTGGTGCAGCTCAAGACGAAGAAACGCGATCAGAAGGCATTGGAGAGAAAGCTGTACGCCAAGTTGGGAGGCAGCAAAGCTACGCGAAATGCGGAGACAAGTAAAATTGCGGCGCTGGTGGCACGTGCCAGACAGAATCCACTGATTATCGCTGCAGTGGTGGCCGCTCTCATTGCGGTCGTCATGTTCACGTATGTTGGGAAGTCAGACTTTGACACCGGCGGCAAGGACGATGTCAGTACCGATAAAGAGGCGGACCAGTTCACTGTGTAGTATCCTGACGCTTCCCTGGTTCTGTGCTGGTCAGTAACCTGTCGCGATATTCGTCTCAGACACAATGTCAGGGATCTTAGTTAGCGGGAACGCAACGGATCAAGCGCATCAAGTGTGTTTTGATTTGTAGTGCCTATAGGTTGCAAGTTGACCATTATAGAAAATCGTTGAACGCGAGTGAGAATGCCTTGCCTTTTTCGAATCTATAGCGTACTCAGGTCAGTTTTTCGTGCTTAACGACGTTAAAACGAGATGAAGTCTACTAAGTTCCGTTCTACTTTCATGACTGTCCTCTTCGTCACTTGATTCGAATACTCGTATGAAAATCATACCAGCTTAAACTCGCGAATCCATACGTACACGCAATTGCATCTGAGTTATCCCGACGTTGAGTTCGAGTCTCGGTGACGACGCTGATGCGTCTATTGACTCGTTCTTATCACCGAAGAAACAATGTGTCGAGATTTGTTTATCCGACTATGCGCATTTTCATACGACTTCCTGCTGTGTGAACCTTGCGCACACTCACTAATAGCTTCACCCTTCGGGCTCGCAAAAATAGAGGGATTATTGTCAATGCGATAGCAGGCGACAAGCAGAGCGGTGTCCAATAAATAGTAGATTGGAAGTCTTATCATCCTGCTTTTATTGCCGCACGAAGACACTGACCGAAAGGTGGACAATGCTTTGGAGCGACATTTTCTGGAAAGAAGATCGGAGCCTTTGACTACGTGTCCCTTCTTCAAAAGTTTTACACATGCCCTCAAGAACAAGTAGACGGGGTGTACAGAATAGTAGATGCAAGATTCGTTGGTAATATTCCACCGACACTTGACGATACAGGCTTTATCTAGCACTCAAAGCGGCAAGCACGGGATTGTCGTCCGACAGGAAGCTTGAATGTGTCGTAAAGAATTAGATTGGTTGGCAAGGCATAGGCAACAACAATGAGCAAACAAAGCCCAGGGACTGGTGTAATACTTGACACCGCGTGTAGATCATATTTTGCCAGTACTATTCAATTACCGTAGATGCTATACAATCGACCCTCATCCGACCTAGGTCGCCTACCATAGGTAGCGATTGGTAGAATCGCGTCAAGTCGCTGGACAAAAGATCAAAGGCGAGTCGTCTTGTGTCCAAGCTGACGAGACCTAGTTCATTGAAGTGGATTTTTGCTCAATATTGATGATCGGTGATGGTTTAAGTTGGGGTTAGCTGCATATGCCAGACATTGCAGCTATTCATTCTAGGTATTCACTGAGGCCGTCGCATACGTTTACCACAGCTCATTTTTCTGTGTCCACGTTGTTTGCTTTCAAGCGTAGACGCTTGTCGACACCTTATGGCAATGTACAAGCGGTACACATCGGCTAATCGGTATTCCCGCAAGTTTATAGCTTAACAGGCAAAGTAGTAACATCTATCTAGCTTCGCGGGTATCAGGTCGTGTACTTGAGCTCTTATAAAAGTTGCATGAACATGTGATGGTCTTGCCGGCCAGTTGATGCACTTTATTTAGCAGATCGCAGTCATGTTTGTAATCTCGTCTTCATGTTCACGTAACCGCGGTAATTAATCAAAAGCGACTTACAAATAAGCTGGTCGACACTGATGTTGCTACGACTAAGAGTAAGAAAGGGCTATACTATTAGATCAGGTGCCGTCTAAAAGGTCTAGCTTCACATCACGACTCGGGCTCGCAGCTGACCGACCAAGTACTCGCTCCATTTCGTTCCTGCTACAGAGCGAGGAGATCTGAGTAAATTTGGATAACTTGCAAGATCACTGTTGCACCCGAACATCGGTTTAGACATTCACAAGATCACATCGCGATCGAAAGGGTTTGGCGAAACAAAAGACAGAACCCAATCGAGAAATGGGATCGATTTTGCTCATTGGTTTGAGGTAAACTGATTCGACTTGATCCCGACATTAGCAGAAGACTGGTTGTGCTGATGCATACACTGGATATGGGCAAAGATTACATCCCACAACTTATATCTGGATGAGATACTGCTATGACTGGAGTGTAGCAACTTCTAATGCGTTTTCACTTATCACAGAATCAGCCGAGGTCCCACGTAGGAGAATCCAATCTTCAATAAACTTGAACAAGCGCTTCGAAGATCCGAGGCTGACTCTTATTATGCACAAATACCGTCGATGCCAAATGTCGCAGTTGACCGAATACGGCATCATGATGTGAGGAGGTAGAGTTTTTTTATAACATCTCATGTACAATGGCGTCGTTCCCGACGCTCCTTAAATGAATTGGGCGTGATGTTAAGGTTTTTGTAGACCTCGTAGTATTCCTCCCCCACTCGCGCGTCCAGTGCGTATCCACGTTTGTTGCGCTGATGAGCGTTACTTTTGTGGCACGGCTTCGCAAGAAAATTCGTGCAGTTGTGCTGTGTAGTTGTTGGTAGGAACGATGCACCGACGTATTATACTTCCATGTTGATAGCTGATCTTGCATCTGAGTGTCGAGGTCTACGACCTGCTATCAACTCGAACATGTTTGTGGCCGTCAAATTTGTAGTCGTGGCTCAGACTTGGAGGGCTCAAGACTCGCATGTGGCTCGTGTATCATCTTTTGTTGCATACTCTTTAGCTTGGTTCTTGCACGTTTATTGAAAAATGACAATTCGTTGCGGACAGGGAGAGCTGTCAATTTGGGCTCTCCTGATTACAAACATCGTATCTGAAGACCAATTGCATCTAGCAATGACGCGGCATTGAAGAGACCTGTGAAGATTATCTACATGTGAACAAACACCGGATCAGTCGATCTATGTAACGCTATAATTCTATCAGTACGACCTGGTTTAATTACATCATCATATTGTTGCCAAAGATCATGCAGTCCTGCAGCCCTGCTGTGCAGCTCTATATGTCATCGCGCAGAATAGGTGGGATGAATCGATGGTTTGTCTCTTCTTGCTCATCGTCGCTCCATGCATCAGTATCGCCGATCGCAGCACTAGCATCGGCAGTTGATCCACCACTTATCGTTTGCACATCACCACTGACATCTTCTGGTACTTGAGGATACAAATCAACGGGTGGAGGTTTCCACTTCATGATAAGTCCATCTTCGCCTGCTGAATAGAGCTCCCGTGTCGATTTTCGATACAAACACGCCGTTACTTGCTGATAATGAGCTGTAGCCGACCCTAATGGAACACCGCTTTCACCAAAAACGCGATACGATGCTAGGGCACCATCTGCCCCGTTCGGAACGAACACTACCGTCGTCTCATAAGCCCCACCTTCTTGCGCGATGGCCATCTGTATATTTCTCGCAGCACGAGGTTGCGCTCGTTGCACGCCATGGTAGTTCATAAATTGATGTTCACCGGATGTGGCGTTCCATAACCGAAGCTTATTGTCCATGCCACGACTCAACAAAAACCGCCCATCTGGCGTATACGCTAGACTCGTCACTCCTCCATTGTGAGCGACCGCTAACGACGTTGTCGCTGCAGCATGTGGATCGTTTCGTTTCTGTTGCAACGCTGTCACTTTTTGCATTGATTCACGATGGCTCTCCACTCTCACTCTTACTCGATGTCGTTCTCTCAGCTGCACTTCAGACGCACCACCACCCACACGGCGTCGTTTATTCCGCGTAGCAGCAGTAGCAGCCGCAGTCAAAGACATTGGACCCTTCTCTCGCTGTATGTTCGTGTACAAACTTGACCTGCCCGGTACACTCGCGTGCCCTTGATAGTCAAAACACAGGAGACAAGCTGTCGCTCCCGACCGTCGGATATCCCAGAGTCGAATTTCTCCGTCTCTGGACCCCGTTACAAGTGTAAATTCACTACCGGGTGCCCAGTCAAGCGTCCAAACTTCGTCTTTGTGACCCAATAGACTATGAGCAGTGGCGTGACTCGCAATATCCACCAGTCGCACTTCGCCATTTGCAGTCGCCGCAGCAACCAAAGTGTGGGTTGTACCACTAGGCGAGAACTTGGCTCCAAACACTTTGCGCCGCAGTGGAAACGTACTGACACAAGATAATCGTTCGGCATCCCATACCTGTACATGTCCATCAAAAGAGCTCGTGATACACAAACCACTATCAACGGGGTACCAATCGACCATCGAAATACCCAATTGAAGGCCGTGTGTCAGCGACGGTCCATTTGGAGCTCGTGCGATCGAAATCGGACTTAGCGGGTTCATTGTGTTGTACGTAGGGGTCCCGGTTCGGTCGGCATCGTCTAGGGTTTCGAGATCAAACAGTACCAATTGCGACTGGGCGGTACCAATTAAAAGGTACCGATGCTCCGTCGGGTCTAACGCACAGCTCCACACGCGCATGCCTTGGCGGAAAATGTAGTTGGTCGGAGACAGTTGCAACAGTTCGCGTGAGTGACGAGCGTGCAGGTTGTCACGGTACGCGCAGCTCGGGAGCCCGACACTGCGGTCCACGAGGTACTCGAAGGCCGACGTCATGCAGACAGGTGGATCGCTCGTGCGACGTTTCTAACACCGCAGTCGTTTCTATCCACGCTGCTTGTGGCTTGTTTATGTATTGTGTCACTATTTGCAGTAGGAAGATTTCTTACCGAAATTTAAAAGCAGATCGCACTCTTTTTTTTCTCCTCCCCTCTTTATTTTTCAATCGACCCATTTTCTCACCAGACTGCTCTTTTCACGAATAGATTGGGGGTCGCGCAGTTAAAACCTCTGGCAATGCTCGTGTCAAAAGTCGATCGTTTGCTGCACCTTGTGGCATCCCGAGGGGCTCCAGCCCCCGTCAAATGTCATGCGATACAGTCCATCAACAACATCGTAGCGTTCTCAGGCGGCGTAGACTCTGCTCTGGTCGCTGCACTGGTCTACCGCGTGTTTCCAGCTTCAAGCGCCGCGTGTATCGGAATATCTGCAGCGCTCTCTTCTGTGCAATTGCAACAGGCGCGGGAGGTTGCAGCTTCAATTGGTGTTCCACTATGGGAATGTCCTACTGATGAAGCTCAAGTGGAGAGTTACGTGGCCAACCAAGGCAAGAGCTGCTATTATTGCAAGTCCACACTGTACGCCAAGCTGGAGCAGGTGGCAGCGTTTGTGGGTGAGGAAAGGCAGCATCGTATCGTGGAGGAGAGAGATGAAGTTTTTTGTGACGGATTGAAGCCCGTGCTGTATAATGGGACGAATGCTGATGACCAACTGGACCCCACTAGAGTGGGTAAGTGCTCGTTGTGGTGTCAACTATCGATAGTTGTCTGGTGTTTACTGGCCTTCAATCTGCTGTTGTTGAGTAGGGCTAGTTGCAGCTTCCGAGTTCAATGTTGTGAGTCCTCTGGCCGAGCTGACGAAACAGGAGGTGAGGGAGGTTGCCAAGTATCTGGGATTGCCAAATTGGAACGCTGCGGCGTCGCCGTGTCTGAGATCGAGACTGCAATTCGGAGTCCAAGCCACCCAGGTGAGCTATGAAGGGTAGCCGGGTTAAATCAGGAAACTACTGACATGTGTGTTTGTGTGCTTGTAAGCAACATCTGCATCGGGTGGAAAAAGCAGAAGAGTTTGTGCGAAAGTTGATTCATCTTGAGCCGCACTTAAGCATGCGAGTGCGCTTTCTTGCGGATAACAAGGCTGCCGTTGGTAAGTAGGGCCAATTGATTCTATGTTTGGCTCCTTGCTTCGTTGCCGACCTTTTTTTTCTCATGCAGAGCTGGACACCGAAGCGTTGACAAAAGCGATTTCCAAGTTTGACGCCATTGACGCTGAGTTGCGGCGACTCGGTAAGCTTATCATTTCAATCAAGGGCTGTTACCTATATCGACCATCCATGCGTACTTTCTGGACACAGGCTTCAGTGCCGTCGACGTGCGTGCCTTCCTCTCAGGCAGCTTGAGCGGTTACAATGCAGAAGCAAACCACACGTCAGCAGCATCTAGCCACGCGCATCATGGTCATGCAGAATGAACGGAAATAGGCACTTGGCGATTGTATGAATTGGTTACGGTGAGTTCGATTCTTTTTCCAGCCATCTAACCCTTGCTGAATTGAGCAGGGCCAAGTAGCAGCTGGCAGAAGTTGGGTGCTCAAGACGTACGTATACAGCGTACAGCGTCGTTGCCACCGGCTGTACGGGACCTTGTCATACGGTCGCGGCGATTGCTGGTCTCATTTATTTGACGATGAGAGTAGTGGCAGAACCACCAAACCCGTTCTCCTATCCAGACCTCGAGATACATTGAATGTTACAATAAAGAATTTGCACTTCGTGCGGTCGTAGCAGTCACTTCACGAATAGACTTATCGTGACCAGAAGAAACGTTTAAGTCAATGATTGTACAATGTAACGGGGTAGCCCGTTACATGATATTTGTAACGGGGTGAATCGTTACATAACAATTTATAAGAAATTGTTAATAGAATATAACTATAAGAGTTATTTTCTCAGAATATTGTCAAAAGGACAAATATTCTGTAGCACTTACGAGTAGTTCCTAATTGGTTGACACAGGCCATTATATCAACCGACGAAGACGCGCCACGACAGACGCACGCAATGAGTGGTGAGCAGATGGTTGATATGCACATTTGTATTCAGACATAGTTCGATGAGGATAAATAGTGATTGATTAACAGACATTAACTATGATAAATACAGTTCTACTTTTTACTTTAACCAAGTACTCGCTTCTTCTTACCGTCTTCCTCTGCACGTACGAGTAAACGTGAAGTTCCGAGGCACCGCCTTATTCTGTTATCAGGATAAGTAGCTTGTACAGTCACCAGTACAAGCTTCAGGGTGCCCCGTTACACCTGGTAGCACTTCGTAGTCCGTCCAAGGACCACGTTCACATCTAACACGAATATGTTGGATGATGAAGATGACCAAAGCTTTCACGCTACGCGTGACGGCTACTCCCATTTTAGCGATGTCGAATGGGATGCGGTTGAACGGATGGGTTCAACCATGGGCATCCATGCTGTTAGCGTCATGCTAGAGGCTCTCAATAGAGATGCTTAGCATGCTACTATCGCCAAGTTCATTCAAAATGAACTTGACGCCGAACGCGAGAAAGTAGTCTTGCTTCACCAACAAGGTTCTCAACAAGCAGAGTTGTTGAGAGAACAGGATGTTCAACAGTTTGAACTGTTGAGACAGCAGCAGGCTTCTGCTGGCGGGTCGATGCACTCGCGTCGGCCCGAGACTTTGAAGATTGACATCTCTAAGTATAGGGGAGTCGAAGAGGACTCCCTCTTGAGATGGTTCGTCGAATTGGATGACGCCATAAGGGCGCGTCGCATCGACGACGGGGATATGCAAGTTGCATTTGCCCAGTCAAATCTGGCAGGACGTGCCAAGACTTGGGCACTGGGGCTCAAGTTGCACGACCCAAATGCGTTTGGGTCGTTGGAAGTCTTCAAGTCGCGGCTCAGAAAAACGTTTGAACCGCCTAGAGCAGAGTTCAGAGCTCGAACCGAACTCTTGAAGCTCAAACAGGGTAAGCGTGATGTGCACGCTTACGCGCAACATATACGACATCTCACGAGTTGTATAAGTTTCAACTCGGTTAATGAACACACGTTGGTTTTGGTGTTCATGCAGGGTCTTGCGGATGGTCCCGTCAAGACTCACCTGTTCCGGCTTGAACTAGATTCACTAGAACAAGCAATTTCCGTTGCGGAACAGGAAGACTTCGGTCTGAGACAGGCTCGCGCCAGCTCGACATCATATCGTACACAGAGACGATATGACAACGGAGGTCCAGAGCCGATGGAACTCTGTCATGTAGAGAGCGAGAAGGCTCGCTCTACAGACTACAAAAAGTTGCAGAAATGCAACAGATGTCAAAAGACAGGACACTACGCTTACGAGTGTAGTGCCCTCGTCCAGTGTCTTGCAACACTGGGCGTAGTGACCGTCCACCCATGAGAAAGGGGCAGGGACGTGGGTCCGCTGTTGGTGCAAAGACGCAACAACGGGATGGAACGTCAAAAAAACGGACAGGATCAGTAGCTGCGGAGCACCCTACTTGTAACGGGGTGAACCGTTACATAACAATTTATAAGAAATTGTTAATAGAATATAACTATAAGAGTTATTTTCTCAGAATATTGTCAAAAGGACAAATATTCTGTAGCACTTACGAGTAGTTCCTAATTGGTTGACACAGGCCATTATATCAACCGACGAAGACGCGCCACGACAGACGCACGCAATGAGTGGTGAGCAGATGGTTGATATGCACATTTGTATTCAGACATAGTTCGATGAGGATAAATAGTGATTGATTAACAGACATTAACTATGATAAATACAGTTCTACTTTTTACTTTAACCAAGTACTCGCTTCTTCTTACCGTCTTCCTCTGCACGTACGAGTAAACGTGAAGTTCCGAGGCACCGCCTTATTCTGTTATCAGGATAAGTAGCTTGTACAGTCACCAGTACAAGCTTCAGGGTGCCCCGTTACACCTGGTAGCACTTCGTAGTCCGTCCAAGGACCACGTTCACATCTAACACGAATATGTTGGATGATGAAGATGACCAAAGCTTTCACGCTACGCGTGACGGCTACTCCCATTTTAGCGATGTCGAATGGGATGCGGTTGAACGGATGGGTTCAACCATGGGCATCCATGCTGTTAGCGTCATGCTAGAGGCTCTCAATAGAGATGCTTAGCATGCTACTATCGCCAAGTTCATTCAAAATGAACTTGACGCCGAACGCGAGAAAGTAGTCTTGCTTCACCAACAAGGTTCTCAACAAGCAGAGTTGTTGAGAGAACAGGATGTTCAACAGTTTGAACTGTTGAGACAGCAGCAGGCTTCTGATGGCGGGTCGATGCACTCGCGTCGGCCCGAGACTTTGAAGATTGACATCTCTAAGTATAGGGGAGTCGAAGAGGACTCCCTCTTGAGATGGTTCGTCGAATTGGATGACGCCATAAGGGCGCGTCGCATCGACGACGGGGATATGCAAGTTGCATTTGCCCAGTCAAATCTGGCAGGACGTGCCAAGACTTGGGCACTGGGGCTCAAGTTGCACGACCCAAATGCGTTTGGGTCGTTGGAAGTCTTCAAGTCGCGGCTCAGAAAAACGTTTGAACCGCCTAGAGCAGAGTTCAGAGCTCGAACCGAACTCTTGAAGCTCAAACAGGGTAAGCGTGATGTGCACGCTTACGCGCAACATATACGACATCTCACGAGTTGTATAAGTTTCAACTCGGTTAATGAACACACGTTGGTTTTGGTGTTCATGCAGGGTCTTGCGGATGGTCCCGTCAAGACTCACCTGTTCCGGCTTGAACTAGATTCACTAGAACAAGCAATTTCCGTTGCGGAACAGGAAGACTTCAGTCTGAGACAGGCTCGCGCCAGCTCGACATCATATCGTACACAGAGACGATATGACAACGGAGGTCCAGAGCCGATGGAACTCTGTCATGTAGAGAGCGAGAAGGCTCGCTCTACAGACTACAAGAAGTTGCAGAAATGCAACAGATGTCAAAAGACAGGACACTACGCTTACGAGTGTAGTGCCCTCGTCCAGTGTCTTGCAACACTGGGCGTAGTGACCGTCCACCCATGAGAAAGGGGCAGGGACGTGGGTCCGCTGTTGGTGCAAAGACGCAACAACGGGATGGAACGTCAAAAAAACGGACAGGATCAGTAGCTGCGGAGCACCCTACTTGTAACGGGGTGAACCGTTACATAACAATTTATAAGAAATTGTTAATAGAATATAACTATAAGAGTTATTTTCTCAGAATATTGTCAAAAGGACAAATATTCTGTAGCACTTACGAGTAGTTCCTAATTGGTTGACACAGGCCATTATATCAACCGACGAAGACGCGCCACGACAGACGCACGCAATGAGTGGTGAGCAGATGGTTGATATGCACATTTGTATTCAGACATAGTTCGATGAGGATAAATAGTGATTGATTAACAGACATTAACTATGATAAATACAGTTCTACTTTTTACTTTAACCAAGTACTCGCTTCTTCTTACCGTCTTCCTCTGCACGTACGAGTAAACGTGAAGTTCCGAGGCACCGCCTTATTCTGTTATCAGGATAAGTAGCTTGTACAGTCACCAGTACAAGCTTCAGGGTGCCCCGTTACACCTGGTAGCACTTCGTAGTACGTCCAAGGACCACGTTCACATCTAACACGAATATGTTGGATGATGAAGATGACCAAAGCTTTCACGCTACGCGTGACGGCTACTCCCATTTTAGCGATGTCGAATGGGATGCGGTTGAACGGATGGGTTCAACCATGGGCATCCATGCTGTTAGCGTCATGCTAGAGGCTCTCAATAGAGATGCTTAGCATGCTACTATCGCCAAGTTCATTCAAAATGAACTTGACGCCGAACGCGAGAAAGTAGTCTTGCTTCACCAACAAGGTTCTCAACAAGCAGAGTTGTTGAGAGAACAGGATGTTCAACAGTTTGAACTGTTGAGACAGCAGCAGGCTTCTGATGGCGGGTCGATGCACTCGCGTCGGCCCGAGACTTTGAAGATTGACATCTCTAAGTATAGGGGAGTCGAAGAGGACTCCCTCTTGAGATGGTTCGTCGAATTGGATGACGCCATAAGGGCGCGTCGCATCGACGACGGGGATATGCAAGTTGCATTTGCCCAGTCAAATCTGGCAGGACGTGCCAAGACTTGGGCACTGGGGCTCAAGTTGCACGACCCAAATGCGTTTGGGTCGTTGGAAGTCTTCAAGTCGCGGCTCAGAAAAACGTTTGAACCGCCTAGAGCAGAGTTCAGAGCTCGAACCGAACTCTTGAAGCTCAAACAGGGTAAGCGTGATGTGCACGCTTACGCGCAACATATACGACATCTCACGAGTTGTATAAGTTCCAACCCGGTTAATGAACACACGTTGGTTTTGGTGTTCATGCAGGGTCTTGCGGATGGTCCCGTCAAGACTCACCTGTTCCGGCTTGA